CGCTTTAGCTAAATTACTGCCATATTTCCTAAGGTACTGACAAGTCTCAAATTTAAATAGTTCCCAGTTGCTACGAAAAGAATTGTCAACTTTTGCTTTGTTCCAGAACTTTTTAAGAAGGTATTCAATATCAGATTGAACCTTTTTATGTTGTAATAGAGAGTTGTTAAGCTTCCAGTAGACACTTTTACATATTTTAGGAGAGTTTGAGTGTAAAGGGATGGAGATGAGGACCGCATTATGGTCAGTTAAAGGTGTTGTAATGATTTCAACCGAAACTGGATTGATGTTAAGATTTTGAGATATGAGCCAGAAGTCGATACGTGACCTCCTGGTGGCATCTCTATTACTCCAGGTGAACTCTTTTTGTTTGGATTATTACTCCTCCATATATCAATCAAATTAAATGTCTGCATAAATACCTTCAGGGTCTTATTTAGAGAAGATTGATTACGAGGAGGCCAACAGTCCATGTTATGGTGCAATATCGTATTAAAGTCACCGCCTATAACTAGACCGGAATTTGGGAATTTAGCAAGTGAATGTTGAATATGTTTTTCTAATTCTTCAAAAAGGTTATTATTTTCGTAATTTGAGTTGTACCCATATATGTTAACCATTATTATATTGATGTTTCCCGTGTTGATTACTTGTAAAAGGAAATGACCTGCTTTATCGCATACAGAATGTAAAATACTCCCAGAAAACTGGTGTTTCAGCGTAGGGACTCCTGCTGGTTATTATTTTCGTAATTTGAGTTGTACCCATATATATTAAACATTATTATATTGATGTTTCCCGTGTTGATTACTTGTAAAAGGAAATGACCTGCTTTATCGCATACAGAATGTAAAATACTCCCAGAAAACTGGTGTTTCAGCGTAGGGACTCCTGCTGAGTGTTCAGATCCATGTGCCAACCATAAATCGTTAACCCATTGAGCTTTCCATAACCGCAAATCGTTAGTGATCGAGTGGGATTCCTGAAGAAAACAAAAATCATTTCTGTGCTGCTTACCAAACAAAAAAAATTGCTTTACGCTTCACAATGTTTCTTAACCCCCTGGCATTGAGAGTAATAATGGATAAAGACGTATTAATAACGACAAACACACACTTAGAACTATACCTGCGTGATCGTGTGCTAAAACACTAACCCTACTATTTGGGGCTGTACCGTTTGAACATCTATTTTAAACAAATTAGTGGAACACAACATTAAGAGGGAACAAAAGGTATACTAACCAGCGGAAATATATATGAGCATGATTGCGCGGGTCCGCGTCAAGTCTGAGCTATCTTGGGCTCTACTTGGCGGTGCGCGACGGGAAAACGAAAAATATGTGTAACGCGTCCCAAGATACTCAACCACTGTTTTATTAGATCTAAAATTTGTTACGTATTAGATTACTGTAGTTGGTTCGTATATAAATGACATCCAAAACGGAACTGACCACTTTAGTTAAACGGGCGGTTGGGTGGTTGTGGTGCGATTTTCCGACCCGGAAGTCATTTACCAAGGGTTATTTCAATCTGACACAAAAGTTATTTGGGTTTTAAGCGTGACACTCGCAAAATACGACGAACGGTTTCACATATTTGTGCTGAAACACTGCGAAATACTTTGGGACGCACGAAAGTCATAACCACGGATTGTTAATCGATTATGAAGACAAACGTGAGCGTGTTTAAGGTACTCACCCCACCGTATCCTGGGTAAGCCATTTACGGTGATTTAAACGAGAATGTTGGTACAAATTGTAAAGTTTTGTGAATGCCACTAGCGACACCCTTTCTACTTCCGCTAAATACAGCCAAACGCTCTCGGAAGTTCAGAACGAGAAGTTACGCAATTAGACCCGCCCCATGCCATGGGTACATTTATGTTCGACTTGCAAACTCAGTTAAATACCAAGTAACTGACATGGTCGTCGACGAGCAAAGAGGGTTAGATTTGCAAATTAGATGTACCCGCAGTCCCGGATACGTTTTGTGTCACTACAGTGAGAGAGAGTTCAGAAAATGTAATCTGGATCAAAATGATCCGGATTTGGAAATTCCTTTATTTTATTTTTTTGCTATCCAAGATCAGGTAATCCGATTTTTCGAAGCAACATTGCCTTGGATGACCCTGATACTGATTGACACCGTTTTCAAATTTTCAATTTTACCAAATCCGGATTACCAGTGCTTTAATGGGACAATATATCACAATGTGGGCTACCAACAATGTAAAGAACAACAGGTAGAAGAGCCCATATGCGGTCTCTCTTTTTTAATTAATGAGACAAAACAAACACAACAAACATCCATTTATATATAATTTATTCTATGAACTGAGCCACAACAAATAATAAATGTATAGAACATAAACAAAATATTTAGGATATTTCAAACAAGTCCTACATCAATTAAATACAAAAAGCCTAAATGCCCAGTAGTTACCAAAAATATGTTTCTTTAACCCTGGAGAACCTACAGGGTCAAATTTGGCCCCTATAAATTCTGCTACTCAAGTGCTACCCTTAAATCCCAAAGGGTCAAATTTGGCCCTAATCCTAAATTAGGATTAAAGCATTAAATATTTGGAAAAACATATATTTTGGTGTTCAGTGAACATATAGCAGTAATTTAATGTAAAATTAATCATTTTCCAAAGAAGAAAAGGGTTCTTGGGTTCTCCAGGGTTAAAATTAATATGCAGTGATGAATGACAGAAAGATGTGAATATATCACGTTTGTTTGTTCTGTAAATATGTTTGAGGGTTTATTTGGCCCATAATGCTCGCAAACCCATCGTAGACACACACAAAAGAACAAGAACAAGAACAACAAAAAAACCCGTGAATGCCATCGTTTCGAGCGCCAATTGTACGTCAGGGACGACGCCGTCGTGGATGGGGCAAAGTGAAGCGAACAAATATGGCAATAGACGCCTCATTGGAGCAAACTGGTGTGACGTACCGGCGTTTCCGCCATGTTGGATGTGGCAGATCTCGTAAACTAAAGTAATGGATTCAACGTCATAGAGCGACAGTTTACAAAATTATTACAGTACATGCTCACAGTGCCCACACACACACACACACACACACACAAACCAAGTGTTAAAATGCTCAGCTTTTGAGATAAAACAAGGCGTCGAAAGTTAGGTATCTTTTTCATACCTGTCAACCTTGGCTAATACCTGCCCTTATAAATGATTACGATTCCCCTTACAAAGCAACAAAAACTTGTACAGCGGTTTACCGCGCATGCGTACATCATGCTTTATCAATCCGACCGTACACAGCGATGAAAAAAAATATACGATTGAGGATAACTTTTGCTGGTTTGCCGTGACAATAGTACTGATCGACGACGGCATTGTCGTTGGATACCAGCAGGTGAGATGATCTGGATTTGAGCCAAAATGGTCTTTGTGAGATCGGTTCATAATTGTTTTTTTCCCGTATCTTCTTCTTCTCCTTTCGGCACGTCCCTATTCAGGGGTCGCCACAGCGAGTCAGTAATTTCCATCCGCCCCTGTAAACCGTCCTACCAACTCGCATGGTCGTCTTGGCAAAAGTTTTACACCGGATGCCATTCCTGACGCAACCCTCCCCATTTCTCCGGGCTTGGGACCGGCACTGGGGAACAGTGCACCCCCAGGGGAGGGCACTGCCCCCCAGCGGCTGGGGTTGTTTTTTTTCCGTATAAAAGTTGTAATACGCCGTACATGATTTGAAATGATAAAAAAAACGTATAAAATACGGGGAAAACGTACAAGTTGACAGGTATGCTTTTTTAATGTAAAAAAAAAACACGAAAACATAAAACGCGAAAACTGTGCGACTGACTAGTTCAGTTGACTGGTCGTGGCCGTCGAGATGCGGCGGGCTTTAGAGACAACTAAGAATCGAGGTTGCTGGCTTTTGACTGTAACGTTCATATTTGGCACCATTGTGTCAATGTGTTCGGAGAACCTGCTCTCCGCGACCACTAGAGCCTCCCCTAGAGCAATTGAACACCTAGTTAGTCAGCTTTGTTAATGAAATAATTCTTGTCCCCTTTTTTGAGGTACCTCTGTTTAGTTATTTTAATATCTTAACATTTGTTTTTGTATTTCATTTGGGTTTCCACTTTATTGTTCTGGCATGACAAATAATTTTTTGATGTTACTGTTGTGTGTGTGTGTGTGTGTGTGCGTGTGTGTGTGTGTGTGTGTGCGTGTGTGTGTGTGTGGGTGTGTGTGTGTGTGTGTGTGTGTTTTAAACCAAAAATAAGAAAACATGACACTTTTACAATAAAATAGAATACTGGTTCATTTTTGTCACTTTTAGTGGGCCAAGACGACATTCAGTATCCGTGAATGCTTCACCACTTGGAAGATTATGTGAATCATTTCCAGTCCACTCATGGAGCTGCCACAAGACATTTCAAGATGACAATAATACAGTGTATGGTTCAAAGTAACAAAATACTTCAGGAGATTTTTCTGGTATCTGTACAGTTTGAGTCTGCATTCTTATGATGATGTTTTACTTCTACAGTACTCGCTACATTTGAACACAATTATCCGGACATTCAGTCAACATGGAGTTTATTCTTTTTTCAACATCTGCAAGATGACATAACCCAAAATAGATGTCAATCAGGATTGACTTATTGATTGCTTTCTTGGGGCCGGTACGGCGGAACATGAACAAAAGGAGCTTTAAATACAAAGATGATGCAAGAAATTCAGACAAGCAAGATATTTCCCATGCATGGATTTAATGACAAGAGTTGTGTATTTTTTATTGTTATTATGAGATCATTTGGGTTTTTTTATTTCATTGAGAAAGCAAAACAATATCGTTAAATAGAGTTCATTGTGACTAAAAAAAGGCCTATACACTTTAAGTACACTTTAATGTCACACTGAGACTTGATGTGGTCAAAATGTCACCTATAAACAGGTTGTACTCGTCAAACAAGGCATACTTGCATTAGGGAAAATTTGTTTGCAGAGGATGTCCGCTGTGAGTGGAACAAGTTTTGAAAACGGTGGTTATTCCCCATAAATGCGGCGCTTTTCTATTTGTTAAGCTTTCAACAGGCTTTTACTGTTGACTGTGCCTAATCATCGCTTCACACCTTCCGGCAGGATGGAAATAGACTTGCATGCTTGCGTGTCTGCTCTGAGGAATGATGCTGTCCTCACAAACGCTTCAGTCACTTTTGTTTAATGTCTTTTTTAATGGTTCATCTATAACTTTTGTAAGGCAAATACAGTGTCCATGATAAGTCTGTACAATACGCCGTTGAAATGCCGGCCTATTGTGAAATTCAAACAAATTTGACAACAACAAAGCATTTAAATTTTTTTTCCATAATTCATGTCACCTACACCCTGTACAACTCAAATGATCTTTTTCTCTTACATTTTTTTTTTTTAGAGAGGGGAAGAAAAATGAAAAAAAACTGCAAGAATGTGCTCGCGCAACTGTCCACACCCTGGTGTGTTTGTGTTCAAAATTAAACAACCAAATTCAAACCCTCGGGTCTTTGTCAAGATGGATGAAATTATGAAAGCAAAAAATGTAAATGCCAGGAAAAGCTTACTCATTTTATTTGAGGTTTATCAGAGGCTCTTAAAATGGCGGTATAGGTGTGTGTTGACTTTCATTTTACATGTCTTTGAATGTGATTGGTTCATTTTTACAGTCACATGCCAATTTTAAGACTATGAAAACGGTGTTACCATGTTGCTCGACCATTTCACTGTGCCTAAAAGTCCGGCAACGGCAGCAGATGGACGAGTCAAAAGTCATCCCTAAAGTGGTCAATTGGACAACGAGATGCCAAAATCATGTAATTAGCGACGTCAAGCTTTAATCGGTTCAATCTCTGCTTTAAGACCAGGAAATAAACCGGATACTGTTGGAGGCGGGGAGGGAGAGGATGTTGTGGTCACGGCGGGATCCTTTCGCCGTCCTCTGCGTCATCCAGGTCCTCCGCCTGTTCGTTTGAATTTGGGCTGAGGTGAAGTGTGAAATCATTGGCTGGAAATGGAGAAGTTCTTGCAAGAAGTTTTATCTGAACGTTCAGGGCACAAGTGTGATACAAGCAGTCGTTGTGGTCAAGGCGCAAATGCGCAAAAGCAACATCTCGAGACAAGTCTTATGTATTCTAAGCTGGGCGTAACTCCCAATGGGTATCTCCCATTCGGTTTCTGGATGACCGCTCTAATGCTCTTATTATTTCTTACAAGAGCTGTCAGTTGAGCGCGTTTTTATTGGCATTAATTTAAATGAATTTTAACGGGATTAATTTTTTTTCTTGCGAGATTAACGCGTCAGACGTCACAGCGGATGTTACGTTGTTATATAAATAAACCAGAAACAACAAGCGCGCTGCACATGTCCACGCACGTTTGTTTTGCCAGCCACGGAAGCGCGAGACACCGAAAACGGACACATTAAGAGTTTATGAATGGAAAGTTTACTTTTAAAAAGTTGCCAGATTGTTCCACTGACAAGACCAAAGTTACCTGCATGTTTTGCAGTCGTAAACTGAGCTATCATCTAGCACGTCGAGTGTGAAATACCACTGAATGGCCAAGCACACAGCTGACGTGGGTACTCCGCCCCCTCGTCTCAGACAGACAGCTATGGATCATTTCAAAGCGAAGAAAATGGATAACACGACGAAGAACAAATTTGCTGAAGCCATAGCTAAATGTATGGCTACTGCATGCAAGCCTGTCAACATTGTCCACAGCTCGACTCAAGCTGAAACTGACGCGATTGTTACTTGTTTGGAACTATTTTGTGTGGAAGGTCAGTGTTCCGTGGCCATATAAATAAAGCGGGTGGAGCTTCTCTGTGTTCGTCTGACAGCGACGGTGCCCTCAGGCACCTCGAGATTTCAGCGGTGCAGTGGTAGCAACCTAGCGAACACACTGAAAATAAAACGTCTCCAGTGTTGTCATCTAACCAAGTGTAGTCATCCGAAATGATGTCTACACAAAATCGTAGAGACTTACGAGCAAGAAGGACCAACAGAATTCATACATGGCAATTTTCCGCGGAAATCCGCCGTTTTATTTCTTACATTGATCATTTTTGTGAATCGTCTAAATCCGTTGAGAAAAATTTAGGGGCGGTCAGATACCTTATCGTCGAGTTTTCACGAGCTCTCCCGAACGGTCTCTCTGTTTTCCGTTTGTAAACAGCCCTGCGATTGGACGTGTATGAAAGCTTCAACTAATCAGATCATTGAAGGCATTATTTGTTGCGGGAGTCTTAGCTCGATTATATACGGCCCAGCGATTGGTTAACTACAAGCGATTGGACCAATCAAATTGCATGTAACATATTGTTTTACCTGATTCATGGCGGCCTCTTCGTCTCGCAAATCCGTGGATGCGTGGCACTGACAGATCATGCTACAAAAGTGAAAAAACATGCCGACAAAATCGCCATTCGACGGAGCAATTATTCTTTGGGATCGGCATTTTTCAAACAAACTTCGTCAGCGGATACAACTAAAGACGTTACGCGCTGGGGTACTTACTTTGGCTGAACCAAGCAACGAAATCTGCTCCACTGACGCCCCTCGCCGATAGACAGGTACACTCCGAGGTATATACTTTTTTATTCAAATATACGAGGATGATCTTTTCAATTTTATTTGGTATGCATTTGTAGCAACAGCATGATAACATTTATTTGTTTTTATTTGCGTTTTATATTCATATTGATAATTCACGTTTTGTCTTGGATAATAAAGCACGGTTATGCATAATAAATTGTATGCATAATAAATATTCACTATCACTGTATGAGGTAAGAATCAACAGCTTTTTATCACATTTACACAACACTTTATGAATACAAGTGATGAACAAATCTTAAATATGGCAGGGGATGTGTTTACTTTTTTAGTTTTGATTTTGAGCAGCAAATTTGGAGTTACATATTGGTGCTCACTAGGAATGCATAAGCAAAATTGCACAAATTTTCACTTGAAAGAATAGTGAACAATCTTGGGATTTTTTTTTCTGTTAAAGTTTCAAATAGTGTGTAAATTGAATACACTTCATCTTCAGCATGTTTAGTGCCACTTTTGTAAGTAACCACGCCCCGTCAAGGCCACGCCCCCGGCCAGGCCACGCCCCTTCCTCTTTTTTCATCACTCGCCATTGCCATGTATGCAGAATCAACATAGCCTGACTGCTGTGTTCAAAGCAAACTTGAGAAAAACGAAGTATGCAACCATGGCTTAAATCCACTGTAGGCTGAGTACTAGTTTACCTTAGATGTGCACTTTATAATGTTATATTGCTGTTAAAGCAGCTGTTGTGTGACAAAATATTTTTTTCACACTGTTGTTGATGGACAGTAATATTGTGTGAGAGATTATGTGTGAATAACTGCTCCAAGTGAAAAATGTTCATGTAAAATTATAAATCGAAATTGTTATTTGAGTAAATATTTGCATTTTGCACATAGAAAACTGATTCATGATTCCATGTTGATGAGAGCATTAAAATGGGGAAAAATAGGACAAAAAAATATAAAAGGAAATTCAGAAATTATAAAAAATGCGTGAGTAATCATGATTAATTTTTAGTTAATTTGAGTTAATTATGACAGTTGCATTTTTAATTAGATTCAATATTTTAATTGTTTGACAGCTCTATTTCTTACTGATATGACCAAATACTTTTTTTTTCGAAAGTGTGCTTTTACTAACTGTTACAACATTTTGGCTTTTCTAGAAGCTGTCTCAATACTGACATTTACGAATACCATAATTGTTTGCAGGACTTTTGCTTCTGGTTGGAACAAGACTGTAGGTGTGAAACCGCAGGCCAGCTATGAGATGTAAGTACAGTGTTTTCTGGTCTATGTCTGCAAAAGGTGTTAACATTATTTTCCGTTGCTAGGGCAGTTCAAGTCGAGGTCATACCATAAGGTTCAAGTGGAAGTCACATCATAAGGTTCAGAGCAAGGTCACACTATAGTCAAAGTACTGTGTATCTGTCCGCAATGAGTCGTTAAGCTAAACATGCAAATAGCTAAATGATGGCTTCAATACCAATTTGGAGAAGGACTTAGAGAAAAGTTTAGAAATGACAGTTGATTTAAATAAGAAGGAAATTACAGACACAGGCAAAAAAATGTCCAACAAAAGTTCGGGTTGAAAAAGCTATTAAAAAAAAAAAAAATCCAGTGCCAAGCTCTCAGTGTAGACAGTTGATCTTCAGTGCGTTCTTCTGGATGTAAAGACAGAGGTGCAATGTCTTGAAATCGTTGTTCTACCATCACAAGCGCATACGGAGATCTGACAATGAAGCACGATGTCACCAAAGCACCAAAATTTGTGGTTGCACGCTACACCCGAACACAGTTTGAAGGCGTACCATCAAAGATATTCCCACTCCACAGTGAATCCATAAAAGTCACCCAGCTGTACCTCACTGACATCATGAAGTTATGGGATCTATACCACCAGCATTCAACCATTGGCAGAAAAATTGGCGACCTCACAGTCCGGGACTTGGCAGATGGTGGTATCCTATCCAACAGAGGTCAACAACTCCGGTCCAAGAAGGCCCTGATCCTGCATGTTTGAGATGTTTCCCTCCTCCAACACACCTGAATCAAGTCAATTTTATTTCGACAGCACTTAGTCACAGAAAAGTCTCAACCCACAGTTGACAAACATGAAACGACATCCTCTGCCCTTAACCCCCGGGAGTCAAATGATCAGAATCATTTTCGGGCTTCTGCCGAGCTTGCTGACGAGCTGATCATTTCAATCAAGTGTGTTGGAGGAGGGAAACATGTAAAGCATGCAGGCGAGGGGCCCTTGAGGACTGCAGTTGCTGACCCCTGCTGTACAAGCTGGAGTTTTGAGTCTGACTGGGAACCCGCTTCAGCGACTCGGCATCCCCAAAGAGCCATTCCACTCAGTCGCACTCTTTCCCGCCCAATCGCCCAGAGGTACTTGGCACACAACGCCGTGAGGTCATATCCGTTGCGGCTCATACGGTTCGCCTTTTTCTGCTTTTGCGCCATGTAAAAGCCACATATTCACCTGTATAGCTCTTGTCGCAGAACCTGATTTTCTGGATACGGCAGTCCACGAAGGAAAGGTCAAGTCAGGGAGATACAAATTGTTTCTGCCTTTGGATTACCGAGATTTGCCAGATCTAACATTCGAAAGGTAAGAAGGGGGGAGGCTACCTGTAACATGAGGCACCATTTGCACTTGAGTTTTTTGGGGGGTTTTTGTGTGATGCTTCATGACTTCTTGTCTGCTCATCTGTCTGTCTTTATTTAACACGAACACATTAAACCCTTTCTCTAAATTGCAGCTCAGTGCTTTGGAGTAAGAGTGACAAAGACGGCGTGCTTTTGTGACGATTAGTTAAGCCCAGTCCTGTCAATACCACACGTGGAAGGATACCATTTTTCAAAGCTGGAGAAAAAATAAGCCAGATTTCCTCAACGTTGGAGATTGTGTGCAAAGACTTTCAAGAAATTCAACGACTTGCAGGCGATGAGCAACCAAGACTACCATTGGCCTCCCTCATCAACAGACCAAAATGAGAGTTCACGCAGCAAGTGAGTGGTACTTTGGATCAGGTTAGACCAGTCAAATTACCTGGGTAAGGTTAGACAAGAGACAAAACGTGGTTATGTTTAGGAACGACTCTCATAGAACTGAAAATGCCAGCGACATGGCATATTCTATCAAAGTCAAGATTCATTGTGCCATTAGAATAAAGATTTGCTAGATGGACTACCACGCGTTGCCGTGAGAACGTGGCAAAACACACGCAATAAACGCGGCAGAACGTCACACAGCATGAGAGGACCAAATTGAGAGAGGGAAAGAAAGACGGCACAAATGCCTCACGTCACACATGGAGCGCTTTCAAGTTGTGTGCCGCTCTATGAAGTGGTCTTCAATCACTCTTTCATCCCTTCCTCTTTTGCTCTTTTCTTCCTTCTTACAATTTTGTTCCTCCCCTTCCTCCATTCCTTCCTTCCATCCATCCATCCTTCTTCCTTTCCTTCAGCATTCAATCTCTCCTCCCTTCTTCCTTCCACTCTTCCTTTCATATGTCATGGTTGTCTCCTGGTTCTTCCTTCCTTCACCCCTTTTAATTCCTTCCATGCCTCCATCCTTTCTTACCTCTCTTCGCTCTTGGGCCCCAAAAATCTGTACCCGTTGTCTCTCGTTAAAAGTTTGACACACGCAGGGAATATTGGTCCAGTGTCCAGAAAAGCGGCATAGAAATCTGATGCATTATCACTAGATCCTCTTCAATGCAATAGATAGGACCAAGGTGGGGCACAACATTCCAGCGCCCTAATCTGCCTGTCACATCAGAATGTTGTGGCTCTGTCTCCATCGCTGTCGATGTACGTCGACATACTGTATGTCTGTGCTCTGTCTCTATTCATCCCAGCATCTCCACGTTCAGCATTGGCATGCCAACTACCTGGACGAGAAAAGCTCAGAAGCGTTCACGCGCTGTCTGCTGGAATTGCCATCTACTGATTTTAAATGTTGCATCCTTTTGTTGCACTGCAATTTCAAAGGTAAGTTTGCTAAAATTGGCTACTAGCTTGTTTTCGTGTTGACTTGGCGTGGTGCTCACTAACAGACGTGGATGCGTGTGGCGAGACAGACAGACAGACAGACAGACAGACAGAATAGGATAGACAGATGGGGAGGGAGGGAGGTACACCTCTTACCACAAGAGGTCGCTGTTTGTTTTAACAAGGAATCGGCTGCTGCAAACTCTTCAGCCAACTAGGTAAAATATCAAAATGAGTTCAAGAAATTTTACCAAGAACATAATTTTATTTTGGGGAGCGTAAGGTTATGATTAATGAAAAAAAAACAGACTGCAAAAACCTGTTGACTGGTAAAATCAATTTCCCTTTGGCTTGCATGTTATCAAAAATGAACACCACAAGCACACTTTGAAAAATCTTAGACCACAAATTAACATTATTTGGAAAGGCATGTAATGAAGTCTCATTTAATGGCTTTAAGGAAATAAAACCTTCGGTTTTGACAAAGTGGATTCAATTTGTCAAACTTTGCACCGCTGTTTACGCATTTATTGGCCTACCTTTGAAACCTAAGGTAATATTTAACAGCAAAGTCGGATAGACATCCAACTAAATACCCGTGAGCACTATTTCTTGACGCCGCGCGCGTGCTGTTGTGACTTTTTGGGACCCGTATTGTTGATTCTTCTTTTTTTTAAAATCATGGTTAGTTAAATGACAGCACGTGCTCTTCTATTAGTTGGCGTTTTACAGGAGTATTGATACATTTTTGCTTCATCTATTCAGGTCTCCATTGCCAAGGTGGTCCTCGGAATTCTTGGACTGGTGGTGGTTGTTGTTCTGATCACAGTGCCAACTGTGATTTACTTAAAAGGTAGGTGTTTTTTTTTTTTTTTAACCCCAATCGTTATTTGAGGAAGAGCAGATGATTAAATTTGTCTTTCAAGGCCAAACACAACAGAAGTTAAAGTTAATAGTTAACATTTACGTATCATCAGCAGTTCTAAGTTGTTTGCAACCTTCTGAAGCATCTATCCTGTCCACTCTCTCCTCCCCCCTGTCGTTTATGGTCATCATCATAAGGATCACGTGAATATCCAATATCGGAAGATCTTCTTTACTCACCATTGGAACGAAAGCAAAGCAACAGCGCACCTAAAATTAGGCAATAGGAACAGGTCACATCAGATTTGTGTCAAGAAGACGGTAATGACATGAAAACCTATGGTACAAAGAAAACATATTGTAGTTCCAATGGTAAAATGACAACAAAACATATAGTTAGCAGACCACGCGCTTAAGATTTTAAAGACACAATTTGGAGAAGACTCTCGAGCGCCTCTTCGAGCAGCGTTTCCAACAGGCTGTAAAGTACAAAGTCGAGTCGAGCTATTTGACCGCATATTGCAAGTTTTTTTCCCCCCTGATCCTTTAGGACAGTTGAATGAGTATTTTATTATTCTTTTAAAAATACTTGCCAATTATTTTACAAGCTGCTGTCAGTTTTAGACTTTTTTTTGTGTGTAATAATTTCTTTTGACGATATGTTGAGAGACTTTTTCTTCCCACCATCGCGAAAAGTTTGCTATTGCTATTACACTCCTTCAGAATTAAGAAAAGAGATGACACCGGCAAATTTTTAATCCTCACTCCACTACTTTCTGGTTTATGGAGAATGAGGCAAGATGTTAGAACATGGACTTGCATTTTAGCAATCATTTGCATTCTGGAGCAGACAGAAGAATAATTTTAACTGAAACGGTGAAAGGAGAAAATCAATTCTTCGATACGCATTACCCATATTTCGACCCAAATGTCATGTGATCTTGCTTTATGCTCTACAACATTTCAAGTTTTGCTTAGTTTTTTTGCTACAGTAATAAAACAAACAATGGATGGTGATCAGACCAATACTGTTGTCTTCAGCTCATTCTTCTTCCTTGGACCAGAGCCCATTTGCCCACAAGTGTTTGAGAGATCGAGAAGCTTGAGTCAACATCAGTGCAGAGTGTGCCGCATCCAATTTTCTTTTTTTTTTTTTCCAGAGGAGCAGATTGAAATCACGGACAGAAGGACTTTCACACTGGAGGACGTGTTCAACAGTTCCCTCAAACCCAAATCTTACAACATCTGGTGGATCTCCGGTGGGTATCCAAGACGTTCGCCGCTTGGAATTCCAGTGCCAGTCAAATAGGAGCACCACATTTATTTGTTTATTGTAATTCTAAGTGAAGTAATTTTCTTTGTAGATGATGAGTACCTGCACAGGCGACAAGGCTCCGTCTATCTTTATAATGTCACCACGGGGCAGTCGTCCGTCTTCTTGAGCGCGGACACGTTTGTAAGTTATCCCTCTCGTTTTAGCAACTGCTTCCATCAATCTCTGAAAGTTTTAGAACGTGTGAAGTTAGAATTGTGACTGGTGGGGCCCAGGAACAGATTTGATCTTTCACCTTAGCAAAATTTGGGCCGATCAGAATCATCTGCAATTGACCCTGTATCAGGCCATTTGCTCATGAAATGTTGTCGTTTCCCATTCAAACAGAGCGAAAAAGGCGCTTCCGACTTTCAGCTGTCTGCTGATGGCAGATATGTGGCATTTATGAGCAACTACTCAATGGTGAGGCTCAGCTTTTGTTTCATTGTCAACGTCATGACAAAGTGCCTTTGGTGATGTTTATTTTATTTTTATTTTCATAATCATAGTGAACATTTTGCGCATGCGCCTGAAAAGTAACATCCATCCTGTCATTCTGGGGTAACATCCCCTTTAAGACCCCCCCCCCCACCCCCATGTTTTCAGTGACATAACAACCAGCGTTTTGTCTTCCTTCAGCGGAGGCTAAAACAGCAGCTAATTAGCAAATATTGACACATTTGTTTCCCAGCATACCTGAGCTTAACTTAACCCGTCCACTCTGTATTAAAAATAAAGCTATTTTTGTGAAACAGTATACGATCAGCGTGCAAACGGAATCATGTTGCTAAGCGACGGTCGATCGTGTTTTCAACGCTTGCATGAGCCAAGAGTGTCCACATTGTCAGCAAACTCACATATTCATCCATCCATCCATCCATTTTCCGATCCGCTTTATCCTTAAAAGGGTCGTGGGGGGTGCTGGAGCTTATCCCAGCTGTCGTCGGGCAGTAGGCGGGGTACACCCTGAACCGGTTGCCAGCCAATCACAGGGCACACAGAGACGAACAACCATCCGCGGTCACGCTCACACCTAGGGACAATTTCGAGTGTTCACTCAGCCTGCCAAGCATGTTTGTGGAATGTGGGAGGAAACGGGAGTACCCAGAGAAAACCCACGCAGGCCCGGGGAGAACATGCAAACTCCACACAGGAAGGCCGAACCCACGACCTCTGCACTGTGAGGTCAACGCGCTAACCACTGGAGCCACCAGGCCGCCCAAGCTCACATATTTTCCATTGAAAATCTATCGCAGAAAATCTACCGGTACTTAAAACAATAACTTCAATGAAAAATTGTAACTTTTGGAGGTTTAGATGGGGATTTATCATTCCGCGGGCAACTTGTCGGTCTTCTGACTTGTATGTTTGTCCCACTTGTTTTTGCACATAATGACAACTGCACATTTCCTGTCCTGATAGTTGTGGAGGCATTCATTCACAGCTTCATACTCACTTTATGATCGGGCTTTGAAGTAAGTATGCGGAGAGATTGGATTTTGGATCTTTTTGTTGCTTTCTTTTGATACTGTCATTTGGCCACCTCAGCAAGTTTGTGGAACCTTCCTACCTGCCTGAAGAAATCCAATATTTGGCTTGGGCGCCGGCAGGCAACAAACTGGTGAGTGCGACTGAATCAAGTTTGAACTCGCGATGTCGGCTTTGCGTGATGGATTAGTGAAACCTTGATCTGCCTTTGCCAAACACGTATGTCAGCTGCAAGGTAGAGAGAGATGATTGAGCCGTCACACACTTGTTCTCTTTTGGATTTCTAGGCCTTTGTGTGGAAAAATAATGTGTACATAAAGACCAGCCCAGATTCATTGCACCAGCAAGTGACGTTCAATGGCAAGGAGAATCAGATTTTGAACGGAATTCCAGATTGGGTATATGAGGGTAAGTAAGAAGTAGTAAGAGATAAAGATGCACCTCCAAATGATGATTATTTAACAAGAAACTGATTCCATCGATCATGCTTGCATCATGAACTGAGCCATACTGAATTGTAATGCCACTGAATCAAACGGAATTGAATCGTTCCACTTTAAAATGTACCGTCCTTGAAGCATATTGCACCCCATGTATCAAAGTACGTCTGGAATCGGCTTCTATTGAAGAGCTGCACATGCCTAATAATTACGTTTGCCAGTTTCTGATGATTTCGGTGACTATTGCGGGAGTTCCTTTTGCCAGAGGCTACTAACATTTATGTCCAAACATGTACACTTTTATTCAAAACACACATTGTTGTTCCCCCTACCAGAGGAGATGTTCTCATCCAATCAGGGCCTCTGGTGGTCCCCAGGAGGGAAATATGTGGCCTATGTTGAGTTCAATGATACAGGGGTGCCCACTGTCGAGTTCTCCTGGTATGGAGATCGTCAGTATTCCCGTACTGTTTCTATCCCATATCCCAAGGTGGGTACCCGTCCATGAGCCGAAACCTTCACGCATATCCAATGATGGTTAGCCATAAAGTCTGAGCCCCTTAACCCTTCGCACATATCCAAAGATGGGGACACTCTCCATGGCCTTCATGCCTGATGTCAATTGTTTTGTATTGTTGTCTTCAGGCAGGTTCCCCAAACCCAGAGGTGAAGCTGTTTGTTGTGGACACAGACAACACGACAATGATCACTGAGGTTCTTGTTCCAGAAGCATTCAAGTCGCAGTAAGAGAACCCCCACGGCGATTAAAGTTACACAATGTTTCGGCTGAAGATGACATTTTGCCATCTCGGAACAAATAGGGAGCATTACTTGGCCACAGTGACTTGGGGGACTGACCAGCGTCTTGCCATCCAGTGGCTTCATCGGCTCCAGAACCACCTCATCCTTCAGATCTATGACCTCCGGGGCTTCACCTGGGAGCCAGTTCAGGTACAAAACAAGTGGCGTGCTGTTTCCACATTCTTTTGAGTATGACCTTACATCTTTACGTATATTTGGTGCCCTGGGATGCAAGTAACCTGATTCTTCATAAAAGAGGCTCCCAGCTGTTTCAGGGCTATCCCAGTTGAATTTTACCATCAAACTAAATCTTAAAACCGTCAGGTGTGCGCAAGTGCTAATTGTGGAATTCAAAAGCAGATTTAAACATTTCAAGCAAGTGTCACAGTTCATTGAACTGAACAGCAAGAGCGACGTGACAAAAGTTTGACGTGAAAACAAAAACACTATCAAACAACAAAGGGCAGCGGACCGAGTCTCATGGGAGGAAGGTCGAGGAACAGATCAAAACACAACAACAACAACCAAATACCTCTACAAGGCAAGGAAAGTAATATTTTGATTGATTAGTATCAAAATTAAAAGGATTGGTATTATTACTATTGTTATTGTTATTAAATACATAAAAATCACAGTAGTTCTACAAGAAGCACAAGTGCATCCAATAGGCAGAAGCATTTTTCCAGCTGACGAGAATGGAAGTTGCGAATCAAAATGGAATCCCGTAGCAGTGCACATTCATTTGATCCTCCAGCAAATCCCAACGCAGAGGACCGTAGTCTTGCCCCGGGACACGGGATGATCACTGATGGAATCCAAAGCAAAAATAGGACCACGGGAGGGATAGGATGAGCAGAGGATGCAACAGACCGTTGAGGACTGGGTGAGAAGCCTTGTTGCGGGTATAGACCGAGTAGGCGAAAAAGAACATGCAAACTCATCACAGGAAGGCCCAAGCTGGAATCAAACCATGCACCTCTGCACTGTGAAGCCGATGTGCTAACCAGTCGATCGCTGTGCCGCCCCCCCATATATAATTCAAGACACACAAAAAAATAGCATCAAGATGGCAGTGTTATTGAACATTATTTAATGCCACTTGAATGCAAATGGTAAAACAATGCTCACAGACATATCTTCTTTATCCTCTGCAAAAAAAAAAGAGACTAATATTACTGCAGCTTACTGTTGAGTTCTGACAACCGTTTCCATGTATGTCTGTATTAGACTGCCCCCAGATGGCCGAGAGATGTACACTAAAAATAGCAGCACAATGTCCATGGAATGAAAGCAAAAATGTTGCAAAAACTGTTTCAAGTTTAACACCTTTTCAGAAACTACAATATTATTGAGTGCTATTTTTCTTGTGAAAAAACACATTACAAACATCTTTGTATTCTGCTATGCTGCCCAGAAAGAAAATCACGGTAAATACATTTCTGATCAACAAAGTGGGATTATAATAACTTGATACTGCCGATGAACAAATATCTGTGTGAGAATTATAAAATGAGTTCTCTGTCTTGCTTTTTTGTAGCATCTGGATGTGAAAAGCACCACTGGTTGGATTGGACGGGTAAAAATTAAACAACTACATGCTCTACTCTGAAACAGAATAATGGAAGACATTTTGAGCTATGCTAACATCTTTTTCTGGCTAGTTTTCTCCATCAGCTCCAGTTTTTGCCGAAGATAAGATGAGTTACTACGTGTTGATGAGTGACTCCAAAGGTTACAAGCACATCCATCATGTTGTGGAGGTTGGCTAAGTAGACAAACTAACATGAAAGAATGTACCATAGTATTAGAATGATGTTTTGGGGTAAACTATGACAACTTTTCCTTCGCAGGGCAACGCGACGGCAATTACCACAGGAGAATGGGAAGTCATTGCCATTCAGAAAGTAACGGCAGATAGTGTGTGAGTCCATTTTGATTTTTGGGGGGTATTTCTACTTGTATTTGGATCCCTCGGGTGAAAAAAATAACAACTGCTTTAGGTGTGTTAATCTTGTTGCAAGGTGGTTGATGTGAGTGAGTTGCTCCTGGTTAGCGCGTCTGACACACAGTTCGCCTGTTTGGGGTTCGAATCTTGGCTTCCTGCATGCACTTTGTTTTTTCTCTCCATGCTTGTGTGGATTTACTCGGTCGACTTCTGTTTCCGCCTACACCCGCAACACATGCGCCTTAGGTTAATTTGAAGTCTCGAAATTGCGCATTGGTGCCAATGTGAGTGTGAATGGTTGTCTGTCTAGATGTACCCTGCAGTTGGCTGGCAACCAGTCCAGGGTTTACCTCGCCTCCCGCCTAAAGTCTGCTGGGATAGGCTTCCGACACAACGGGAAAGAAAATGGTGGCGGCGGTAGACAGTGCGGTAGTGTAGTGCTTAGAAGGTTTTCCTCACGGACGAGGGGTGTTGGGTGCAAATGCATTGCCCATTCGGTGCGAATGTGAGCTGGAATGGTTGATTGAAGGAAAAGAAATCCAAGTGTGATATTTTATATTGATGTATCTCGCAAACCTCTGTGAAGGTTCTTGATACTTTAATATTCATGATTTTCCACAGATATTTCTCTAGCAACCAAGAGGGAGGCAAACCCGGAGGAAGGAATATTTATAGGTAAGGCATTAATGCCGTTGTGAGTTCTGTACGTACTTACTTTTAAATGTGCAGCTGATACGGCGCGTGCTTGTTGCAGATGGAGCAAGGGAGAGGTCAAGTGCCTGACTTGCAATCTGAGTGGTGATACCTGCCAGTATAATTCCGCTTATTTCAGCCAGAATGCGAAATTCTACCTCATGAGCTGCCGTGGTCAGTTCTTGTCTTTTTGTGTCCAATACGTTTATAATATGTTGTGTGAAATATCATCAAGTTGTTTATTGTTTATCAAAGGTCCTAGCATACCTTACAGTTCCCTCATGGATAACAAGGAGGGCAAAGGTGAGAGCTGCTTGCATAAGGAAAAGAAAAGTTCTTTTTTTGTTTTACAAATTTTTTACTAATTTATTTTATCATAAGAGCTGAAGCGATTGGAGGATAACAGCCAATTCACCCAAGGCATTTCTGACATCCAAATGCCCACCATGCGTCGAGGAACTATCAAGATTGCTGGATACAGTGAGTTCATTCAGCTGGCTCTTTTGCATTCGGCGGCAGTTTCTGGCATGCACATTATGTGCATGGCGACACGCCTCAAAATAAAAAATGACTACTGAAATGTTTTTTTCCATTGTGTGATGGCATGATGATGTTTTTGAGATTCACTCCTGAGGCAATCCTACTAATAATTAGCATTATTATCTGGGTTGGTTTTCTCGAATGATTGATTTTTTTTCTAAATGAATGAATGAAATATGTTAGGGTTTGGTCACTTCACTGAAGACTAAATTGCCCATAGGTCTGATTGTGAGTAAATCTCGTCTTTTTTTTTTTGGCCATGACAGAGCTCTGGTACGAGATGTTTTTGCCACCAGGCTTTGATGAGTCCAAGAAGTACCCCTTGTTGCTGGATGTGTAAGAGTACATCACCAGCCCCGCAAAAACTCGTAGGCAACAAACTGGGCATCGTACATCATACCACGAATCAACCTTTGCAGGTATGCCGGTCCCTGCAGCCAGAAGGTAGACTTCACGTACAGCGTGGGCTGGTCCACATACCTGGCCAGCACAGAGAAAATCATCGTCGCCAGCTTTGATGGGAGAGGCAGCGGTTACCAAGGCGACAAGCTAATGCACGAAATCTATAAACATCTCGGGTCCTATGAGGTGGAAGATCAGATAACCGCAGCCAGGTAAGGAGGCTGAAGGGTCAACAATCAGTTCTCCTCCTTCTACGAGAAGGCCTTAACTACATTTTTGTTTCAGGGAATTCATCAAAATGGGATTTATTGACAAAGACAGAGTTGCTATATGGGGATGGGTGAGTAGTCCAACTAGCTAATGTTTAAGTCACTTGGCACCTAGTAGGACTCTAAAAAAAATTCATCTATTTTTTTGTCAGTCTTATGGTGGGTATGTGGCTTCCATGGCCTTGGGATCTGGAAGTGGAGTCTTTAAATGTGGAATGGCAGTTGCTCCAGTCTCCAAATGGGAATATTATGGTATGTTGTATTTTTCTATTTACAAATTTCACATGAAAGTCATCACCCCTCCATTGTAAGGGTTACGTTCCACACCACGACCGCAATAAGCGAAGTTTGTGATATTGAACTACTCTACTTAAATACACCCTAGACACATTTTTACTCACACTTTCAAAATACTGTAGTACAAATGCATTTAAACACATATCATAGATTGAGAATTTCAAGAGCATTTGATAACACAAAAATATTGCACAGTGCAACAGAGCCCTCTATGTGTTTACAGTCAACAAATCCTGTTTCTACAACCTAAAAAAAACGTATCATCTCACGATATACATCAATAATCGTGCCCAAAGATGTACAGTTTGAGATGAACCCACATCTGTCACTTTCTGTAGGGGTAAAAAGCAGGACTACAGAGGACGACGTTCAATCATTTTTAACTCAAACTAGGTGGTGCTGATGTACTTCCTGTTTTTGTTGTTCTTTTTCAAACTTACACCGTCTCAAATTAAATAATCCGCACAAACTAAATCCACAAAATAGCAGGACCCTGTGTCCAGAACACAGGGGTGGCATGGCTCAGAGATGGAGTGGTCGTCTCCCAAGCCAGAGGTTGTGAGGTTCAATCCCCGGTCATTGCGACCTTGTCGAAGTGTCCCTGAGCAAGATACTGAACCCCCAGTTGCTCCTGATGCTGTGTCATCAGTAGGTAAATGAGGGAGTGTAAAGCGCTTTGAGTACCTAAGGTAGAAAAATTCTATGTAAGTGACTTCCCACTTACCATTTAGATGGAGAGGGGGTTTGCAATACATCAACTATCAACATCTCACTTTGGGTTCTTTCCAGATTCCATCTACACCGAGCGGTACATGACAAAGCCAAGTGACAATCTAGTCGCCTACACTGTAAGTTTGCATGCACACTCTTCAACTGTGTAGCTACTATGTGTCCAAATTCGATCCCATTCTGCACAGAACTCCACAGTTACTGCACGGGCCAAGAACTTCCATTCAGTGCAGTATCTCCTGGTTCACGGAACAGCTGATGGTGAGTCATATTACTTAAGGTTATTTAGAACAAGTGTGATAGAATAGTGCTTAGCGCAAATGCCTGACAGCAGAGAGGTCCTCAATTCCACTCTCAGCTCGGGCCATCCTGTGTGAGTTTGCATGTTTTCACCGTGCTTATGTGGGGTTTCCCCAAGTATCTACTCCATCCTTTTCCCACATTCTGAAAATGTGTGCATTAGGTTCATTGACGACTTGAAATTGTCCATGGGTGCGAATGGTTATTTATGTGCCCTGTGATTGGCTGGTGACCAGTCCAGGTTGCGGCCTGTTTGTCGCCCAGTCAATTGGGATAGGCTCCACCATAGCCACAAAACTAAAAAGGACAACCAGTATCGAAAATCCACACACGATGACCAGACTATTTAAAGGTCTGAATGGGGACAGCTGGGTGCATGATCAAGTAACCACTCTCCACCCCAATTACCTGAACACAATCGAGACTGTATTATATAACATATGTTTATGTGCTTCCACTTCATAGACAACGTGCATTTCCAGCAGGCAGCTGAGATTTCTGAAGCTCTGGTGGATGAGCAGGTCGACTTTGAGGCCATGGTGAGCAAACAAGCCGTGCTGCCGATATGCGGGATGTCAAAATGAAATTCTGAATGTGTTGATGTTGTCCTTCAGTGGTACACGGACAAGAACCATGCGCTTCCTGGTTCTGCCAATCAACACGTCTATACCCACATGAGCCACTTCCTACAGAGGTGCTTTGCATAAAGTCTGTTGGATCAGCACTCCAGAACTGCATACATTGCACAAGGCGGACTGTACATAGAATGTTTACTTGTTTGGTTGTCTAAATGATTACTGTAATTTGAATGGGGCGGCACAGTGGCCGAACAGTACAGAGGTCATGGGTTCCAATCCTGGCTCCTGGCCTTCCTGTGTGGAGTTTGCATGCGCTTCCCGTGCCTGCGTGGGTTTTCTGTGGGTACTCCGGTTTCATCCCACTTTCCAAAAACATGCATGGTAGGCTAATTGGCTAAACACTCTCATCACACTTAGGGACAAGATAGTGTCTATTTTGTCTATAGGTGTGATTGAAAGTGTTTGATTTTCTGTGTGTGCCCTGCGATGGGCTGGCAACCAGTTCAGGGTGTACCCTGCCTACTGCCCAAAGACAGCTGGGATGGGCCCCAGCACGTCCCCGCCGTGAGGACAAGCGATTCAGATAATGGATGGATGGGATTTGAATGGAGGCCAACATTGTAGTAATAATGGATAAAAACTTAAGAGAAAAAAATGCACTCCACAACTTGGAACTGCTAATCCACCCAAGTAAGAAACAATGACTACTTATGTGACCTTCAAATCATTTGTATGCTGCTTTAGCTTGTATTTATGATCTCTGATGTTGCCATGCATGGTTGTCCTTTGCCCAGATACCCTCTTAAGTGGTCTACAATATTGGTGGACAATTAATATGTGACGTATAAACAAAATAAAGGTATTTTTCATCTATTATTTCAAAATATTTGAACATGGAAGAAGGAATATTGTTTGAAATGTTTAATTGTTTTGTTTTTTACTTATATTCTCAGGCCACTCTTTAAAATCAGTGTTCCTTTAAACCAGGGGTGTCAAACTCATTTTTGTCGCAGGCCACTTTGGAGTTACGTCTTCCCTCAGAGGGCCGTGACGACAGAAGCCGAATCAACGTTTCATCATGACATCATATTATTACTTGAACACAAAAAAATGCATGGCTTCCTTGTTTTGAAATCATTCAACTATTTGTTTGTTGTTTGTTCAATTATTGTTCAATTGAGTGTAAACAGGGTAACAAAATTAATTTAAAATCTCAACATTATTTATTATACATGACAATTTGACATCTTGGTACAGATTCTAGCAAGCATCATGGAAGTTGACACCCACAATTTGCTTTGGCGGGCCACATAAAATGACGTGGCGGGCCGAATCTGGCAACCGGGCCTTGCGTTTGACACCTGTGCTTTAAACTATGTGATGTGTGGCCTTCAAGTAAAAAAAAAAGGAACTTCACAAAATGTGAGCTGGAAATGCTTGTAAACAAAGTCGAGGTGCAGAAAAACAATTATTTTTGGTCAACTGTTTGAGTCAACAAGTGAAAGACAATATACACATTACAAATGCATAATGAATCATCCAAACATATTTTACAAAGATACATCCATTATTTTTACAGTATGCAGAGATGAAAGTGGACTTTTCTGAAAATTCCGGGAAAAAAATTAATATATATATATTAGCAGGTGTGTGTGTGTGTGTGTGTGTGTGTGTGCTTGATCGGCCAAGTGCGTGCGCACGCGTGTACACACACACACACACACACACACACACACACACACACACACGCACTTGGCCGATCACGCATGAATTTGTTTACACAAAACGCTATTCAAATACTCGACATTCAATGATTAATCTTCCTTTTATGTGCACACGTGTACCCTTTGTGGCTTCCGTTCGGGCCGAAATTTCGACATCTCCAAGGTATGGCGAGGCCATGAAAATGCGAGGCGAAGGTATTACTGTTGTAGCGACGCCACTCAAGCTAAGCGAGCCTCAGCAGGAGATAGTCCGCTGCTCTCTGCTGTGCGTGCTTCAGCTAGAACAAGTACGCAAGCGCGTCTTTTGATTTCAACCAATCAGCGCCGATGCAAGTGACGTCACACACGACAACAGCTAAGCTAAGTTAGCCGAGACGACACTCGAAGTCGGACGGACACGATTTTCTGCCAATCGGTGTTTTTCCCTTTTTGGCCAAATATATTTTTTACGACAACTGTCTTGTCCACGGCGTCTTTTATTCGTTCCACTGGGTTTAGCAGGTGTGTTTATAAAGAGACGAAAATTGTTTGGGGACTATCCCCCACGTTGTAGTTGAGATGGTATAACCCAAGAGGCAAAATGACGCTTGCTACTGTTGTTGCGAGTTGCCATTCGTTCTACTAAACCATTACTCAAATGCCATCATGTCTTCTGTCATTATTACACAAACAAAAATCTCTTTACTGTTACTAGTGTTCGTGCCTCAATATGGCCACGCTCGTGAAAGCAATACAACGAACTCAAACTCATCTTCGTTCAATGTTGTCAACTAATATCCGGATTCATTTTATGCAAATTTTCCTCAATTATCCGGAGAAATGTTCATAAAAATTTGAAAAACCCGGAATTCCGGGAAAATCCGGAGGACTTTCATCTCTGATGTATGGTATATTGCTTCACTTACTTACAGTGCTTGGGTTTGTTGTTTTCAGTACAGGACATACGGGGAAGTCTTTCCATGCAGCTCGGTGGGTTTCATGGCCATAGGAGGTGTTCGCAAACGCCCCGTTTCCACCAAAAAGCCCAGGAACCTTAAGTTCCTGGTAATACAAAGTTCCTGTGTGGTCCAGGTGGTTGACTTCTCCACAGCAATTCACTGTTCCTGGTAGATTATAACAAATGAGACGGATTCCGTATTCAGGGGGGAGGTTTTGTGTTATTCACTACTGACACCGTATGGCTCTTAAACATCACTGCAGTTAACAGACGACACTTAAGACGGGGAAAAGTTCAAGTATTACCGGTAATGGGTATCTGAATCTAAGTTTAAATCATATTGGATAATTGCAAAATATACAATAAATATTTGAATGCGTAAACGTCAAAATCCTTGAGATAATCCTGTCTTGGAGGTCGACACTTCCTTTGACTTTCATGCTTGGTTTATGCTCTGACATGCACTATGTAAGTTGAGGGGTTCGTTGTTTTTGGTGGATAGCTCTACTTTACGAATGACAAAAGGAGAGATGGAATCCTTTAATGCAGTTTATTAAAAGGGGGCGTGGGGGGTGGTCTGCACCTGCGAACGGATGAACAAGAACACACCTCCTTCCGGTAACACAAACACTTTCTGGTTTCCTTCAGCCAATCAGACAATATCAAAATAAACTTGTTTAAGCAATTATTAAACGGAATATAACGTAGGTAACTGTAACACAAAAGAATATAATGCTCAAATATAAAATGAAAATAATTAATAATTTAACATAAGCTTACACACTATAACCTGCGGGACCTGAGTGTGCCTTTACCAAATCATATCCAATCAACTTAATTTTCCACAAGTGGACTTGATTTAAATTGGAGGAACCTCTTAAGAATGGTCAGTCGAAATTTCGTAAACATTTTAATGAATTAGCAAAAAAAAAAAAAAGTTTTTCTTTTTCCCAACACTGTCATTATGACTGAGGATGTAACATGACAAATTTTGGGAAAAGTGAAGTGCTGTGAATACTTTCTGGATGCACTGTTGGTCTCCGATCTGTCATAGTAGCTTAATGTTACTTGCTTGAAATTTGAAGGTGAAGCTTTGAGACACAAACATATGACTTGCCATCTATATGACATACTGTATGTGTATGTGACTTACTTCCACCTCTGCCAGTTGAACACATACCCAAGCTCACTCAATGGCATCTTACTCCAAATCTGTTCTCCTGGACTGCACGGAACAAGCCACAGCCCCTCCTTTCCCGGCCCCATCGTTCAAGTCCTGAGCCTTCCTGATCAACTGATAGCTCTGTAAACACAGCCACTCGTCGAATGTTAGCACGGGCCCCGATGTCTGTGATACATGTGATGTCTGCTTCTTTTGAGTTTTCGTTCGGGATCTGGCATTACAGAATCTAATTTAGCTACTCTGCAATATAGAAAAAAACTCTCAATCAAAACGTATGACTTCGTTTTATTTCCTTGACACCAATTAGCACTTTACCCATTTTGTTATGAGAAGTTCAAGGTCAGTTAGTTTCCTTACAGCTCTCTGCAAGATTTATGGCTCGCACTGGCGTAAAATGCCACCCACTCTTCCCATCTGTGTAAACATCTCAAGGATTTTCACCTACTGACTCATTGTGTCCACATCAAAACCCACGCACACGCTGTCCACTGGATATGACAGTAGCCCATTTAAGGATCACGTCCTGCTATCTGTTTGCCAGGAGTGTTCGGCTTATTTGTTTGAACTTCGCACCTCGGCACCAACTGGCATCACGCCCCACTGGCTTTCCCAACAGGGGCTGAAACACATTTGAGTAATGGCTCGAGAGTAATTGGTGGGCCGTAAATAGGGCTGAGCCCTATCCACCTGAGCAGAGCCACTTTCAGGTATTCAAGAGCTACAGGCAAAGTCGGGAAGTAGTCCAGGAACTATTGTCGTTCTTCTGAAAGAGGAAAAAAGGTGAGATGGGCTTTAGTCAACTTTTCTTCACATATGGTGCAAGCTTTAGAGTACTTACTGTGTATGTGGTCGTCTGGTTCTATGGGACAGGTTGTCGCCATGACAAACATCCGCGCCCTGGCTGGCCTCCTTGCCGTCCTCAGCTTTGTCCAGAGTAGCTGGCAGGTTCCTCTTCATGACATCTCAAGGTAGAACCCCAAGCGGATCGATATCGGGTGAGAATGCGTTTGCCTCTGTCTCATTGCCAAGGACGTGTTCTTCCTCCCCAAAGCTCGGAGACCGACGATGATTTAATGAGGAGACATTCGGAGGGAACGTTCTCCAACGATTACAGCAGATATCTTGAAGACCAGAAAGCTCAGGACTTTGTTCGGTGGCTGATGAACAAGAAGCGACCCGGGTTAGTGGTCCATTCCTACAGTTTGTGGCTTGTCCTGATGTGATCATTCATCACTTTGTTAACCCTTTTATGCACCCTGTAACCTGATAACATGATAAGCTGTCCATTGTCGTGACCACTGCGTTAAGATTTGCTGAATGTAATGGGTGTTCTTAGACCTAGCAAGTTTCAAATATTAAGAAAAAAAAAAGCAAGTCATTTTTACTTCAGAGGTCAAATCTACGCCCCAAGGCCTGAGCTGAGTTTCAAACTCACATCCTAACCTGAATGTGTTGCTTGAACGTGACTCCAACAGCGTCACAAAACCAACACATATGGTCTTGCTTGATATAAAGAGACTTTTTTTCCCTCCTACCACACCTATCATAAATGTCATAGGGAATTAAAGTTTTTTTTTTCCAATGAAAAAAATAGTGCTAAAATATATATTGTATTTCGTATAAAATATGTCTTTTTTTTTCCCAACTGTATAGCGCCTCATTTGCTAGCATTTCTCTTGGCCGCTTTGCTTCCATTAAGTACACGTGGATGTCGATTTTTTTGGGTGGTGGTCTGTAAATGTAATCTGCCCAGGCATTCAGAATCAGTTACGTAAAATATATCCTTTCACCAGTCAGATTCCAAATTTGACCTTGCAGCATTTTTCCGTCCTCCGATTGGTCAGTCAGAGCAAAATTTATTACAGGCCAACTTTGTCTCGGAAATACATGCCGGTAGCGATCTGCACACACTGTTCCATGTCATAATCAGCCTATCCGGTGAGTATGTTTTGTTTCCTTTAAATTGTGAATGTTTTTGTCACACTTTTAGATAAATATTCATTCAGAACAGATGCAGATGTTCTACTTTACATGGCACCATTTTTTTTTTTTTTTTTTTTTACTAGCTCTATTGAAAAGCGCCACACCGAGGGGACTTACACCAGCGACGTGAGCTCCTACCTCCAGGACCAGGCCGCAAAAGACTTTGTCACCTGGCTCATCATGACCGGCCAGACCCGAAGAGAGTAGGGGGAACTTCCTGCTTCTTTGCATTCCTTCAGTGCCTGATACCACTGGGTCAACACCTTGGCTGCTTTGTCCTTGCCCCACTTCACGTTTGACCTCGATGTCCCTTTTACCCTTTCCTTGCAATAATAAATCACATGAATGTGTTGAGTTGGGTGAAGAGAAGTTGCATTTTACAACATGAACCAGGCGAGCTAAGGCTTCTTTTACATCAAATAAGTAGCTTCGAATACATACTGTACATATAATATATACTGTATTCACATTGAAATTTAGCAGCTTCCAAGTCATTCAGCTATCAATCTGTAATGAGATGAGTGTTCAGCATACATTTGTTCAGTTGTCTCTATGTGATGTCCTGTGACTGACTGGCAACCAATTCAGGTTATAATCTGTCTTTTGTCCAAAGTAAACTGGGATAGGATCCGGCTGCGCATGAACCTGAACGGGATAACCGATACAGAAAAAGGATGGATGGTTTGTAAATAAGGACAGTCAAATGAACATAAAGTTCGTTTTTTTTTTTTTTTAAATGAAACAGCAGAAACAACTTTTAGAAAGCGTGAAAGTGATTGACTATTTAAATGCATATTTGTAGATCAATTTAACCCAAATACGAACTAGACTTAATGCTTCCTTTTGTTTTAAGTTGATTTGAAAATATGCATGTAATTGTCAACAATAATCACACAATTGACATAAAAAAAACAAAACAAAACCAAACTAAAAAACACCAGGGGATTTGTTCACGGGCACAAATCTGGACACTCCATGGGCCAGTAATGGACCCATAATGGTTTCCATGGTATGCATGTACCCAGATGGGCAGTCAAGATGCACAATCGGGGGTTAAACTGGAGGAGGCACGTGGACGGAAGCTTCACCAGCGACGTGAACAAAGTCCTGGACTCCATGGCGGCCAAGGAGTACTTACTCTGGGTCATGAACTCCAAGTCTTCAGGGGAGAGGTAAAGACGACACAGTGACTCAGTCGTAGTTGCCTTGGCCAACCAGCATGATCCTAGCGTGATGTTCTGTGTATTCCAGTAAGAGAAGACAAGCCGATCACTGAGGACAAGCTCTCTATGAGGACGACGCAAGAAAACAAATATGAGGAACAGGAAGCCATACAAAAAAAAACAAAAAAAATTAAGATTCTTCCATTGTTTTGAAAGTACCTCCAGAATTTGTTTTTTTACACATTTAAATTATTTTCTATTTATAAAAGGTACAAAAAAGTAAAGCTCAGGTATAAACTATTTTGCTCTGCAAAATAAATGTTTTTTTTCATTGAGCCTTGGCATTACTTCTCCTGCACATATAAGAAACCCGTTTTGACAATTTCTTTGCACATTTAAAAAAAAAAACTTAAGATGACAATATATTTTGTTGCTGTAAATCACTTCAAAAATTCCAATAGAGTAATCCCTCGTTTATTGCGGGGCTTACGTTCCAAAAAGAACCCGTGGTAAGTGAAATCCGTGAAGGAATACTGCAGCGATTCCAACAAAAATAGGAAAAATAGGAAAAAAAAAAAAAGGCTGGGAAAAAATCTGTGAAACATCAAAACCGTATAAAATGAACCTTGTTTGCAATTCAAAAAATATCTGACATATATTATATATATATATATATATAGAGAGAGAGAGAGAGAGATATAGAGAGAGAGAGAGAGAGATATATATATCTATATCCCCTTTTGTGGAGAATTGTTCACTGTCTGCCAGGAATGTGTTGAATTGAGGTCATGGCCACCGATCAATGATCTTATCTTGTCAAAGCAAAAAAATATTTCTCAAGATAGCCGAACGACAGCTATCTTGAGAAATCTGTAACTCAAGGCACCCCTGTGAACAGATAGATGTAGAAACCACACACTCCTTGGCTAATCTTCAATTAACGTATTCCCGAAGAGAGGAATTTATTCCCTTTTAATGACATCAAGCTTTATCAGATAATCTGTTTTTTTTTCCTGGTGAATGATCTTGTGGTGTTCAAGGGCAAAAATAGACATAGAAAAAAAGAATAATTTCATGTATGTTTATTTAAATGTTTATAGACACTCTTGACTATATCCTTCTCGTTCGGCTGAACAAAACCACAATTTAACAAATTGAAACTGATTACTTCACAATTTCCGATCAAATTGCCAACCAAATGCACATGGCGATCATCTCTCAAAGATTAAGGCAAATAAAATACAAATCAAATACACACGGATGCAGTCAAAATATGTGATATTGATATAACTTTGACTTCTTATTAGTTTGTCGAAGCATCGAGAGAAGCATCAGACACTGAGGGGAAAAAAACATCTACATCTGAAAAATGCCTTGGACGTCATTTTTAATAATATATTAGTAACACTGAATGAAGGAAAATATAGTATGCATTATACAGTGTTAAAATTGTTCAGCACATATTACAGGTTGCCCTTACTTTGCAGAAAAAAAGTATTATTGCATCCCTAGAAGTACTAAAAATCATTTTGAACGCCAACACAACACAGAGGACAGCGTAGGTCCGTGGATGACACGTACTGACAGCGGTGAAGACTTTGGAACAAGCCACTCGAAAGATCAGCAACGATGAACAAAGAAAAAGACCAAGTAGCAAGTAGCCAAAGGAGGCTAAGCTCATGTGCTACCTTGACAACAATGAAGGAAAAAAAAAAACAGCTCTAACATCACCCCCCGAAAATATGCAGAATATATATATGAGATTTTATATAATATTACCCCCCCTTGCCCCCCACAAAAAGATTTGCTTGAGATAAACTTTCCACAGAAATCCTAAATTCTACCATAACGTCCATTACGTATTTAAGCAATTTAACGATTTTGCTGAGGCGGGATTTTATAAATGGTACAGGCGAAACATATAAAATGCAATCAAAGCGTTTTCAAAAAGTGTCTTTTAGTTGGCCCGTTTGTTGCTGGTTTCGCACAAATGTGCACTGACTTTTTAGTATCGTCGCTGACGTTGTTTCTAATGTCATAATTTATTCACAAGTTGCACACGACACGGATAACAACAAAAAAAAAACAGTGTATCACACACAGTACAAAGGTGGTGGAGTGTGGCACAGTTTTTTTTTTCTCAAAGAACAAAAGAGACAAAACGATGGCATTGTCTGCCAGTGTGTGTCATCACAAACTTGTCTCCCGGTCCAAGCTTTTGTCGTGCCTCCGACGCTTGTGGCGCTTCTCAACTTTCTTGGGTAAACTGGGCAGGTAAGGGGAGAGAAAAAAAAAGACAACACATTGACATTTTGATTTGAAAATGACATTTTGTTTTGTAAATGCAGAGGAAGGCTGAGGGTAACGGCCAAAGGAACACATTCTTTTGTGACTAAATCGCTGGATAACGCAGCACAGCTATCATCGCAGTCCCAAAACAGCACACAAACATGCTCCCAAGTGGTTGTTAGCAGAAATGGAGCAATCTGATTAGAGAGCGAGATAGATGAGCGATCGACACAGAGGGGGGGGTGGGGGGTGGTGGTGGACAGACAGACCGACAGCTCAAGAAATGGATTATAGATACACTTAACCAATTTATTAGACGGGTTATAACCAGTTTTGACAGAGTCACCTTGAAAAAAATGACTGTTACTTTACCAATGACTTGATTTGAAATGGAACTAAATTAGATTACAAGTAAATTTAAAAGTTATACGAAGCAGAAAAAGACAACCCTGCTTCACATAAAAATGACACCTGGTTTTGCCACTTAATTGGAAGTGCACTTTTAACACTGACATGGAAGAATAAAATTATTTTTTCTTATAAAACAAAAGACAACCTTTTGGACTTATCATAATGTCTTTTGTGGATTTCACTGAACATATATGCTTGTGTTTTATAAACAATTTGGAAGGTCTTTCCAGACTTCGCTGAACATGAATTCATTAAAAAATGTAAATCTCAAATAAAGGCAGTCTTTTAACTTGACATGTTCAACTATTTCCGTTGTAACGCCAAAACTCAACATTATAAAGTACAATGTTTATAAATATAACGATGGCATTTGGGGACCGCCTGCAGTCCCGCAATTCGGTGGGACTTTCTCTTCAAGACTGAACGCATACTGTGCTGCTATCCATGTTTGTTTTTTGACAGTGTTATTGCGGCTAGATAACACTCTGTCGACAGCACATTGTGTGCAGCAAAAATCGTGACTGTATTTCCAGCTTGAAAACGTGACTGACTCTCTCTTCTTCCAACATTATGTGTTATAGTATGGACATGTGAGTCATCCACAGGCCAAAAACGTGACTCGAGGCATACATGATGCCACTCCCTCAGATGGGAAATATTAAGTTCAAGGCTTCCTAAATGCCTCACTATGTTCAAGGTGTAAAGACCTGACTTCCTCTCTCTCATATGTCCCATAATGTACAGTTAGTTGTCGAGTGCCTTGAGTGAATGATGTGGTGCTCGGAATCAAGTGTCCTCCTGTATTTTATTGCTCATCCACTATTAGTTTTGCTGCATGCAGGCAGAATGCATGCGTGAGACAACACAGTGGATGACAAGTACGTGATATTTATTTAAGTCCTGTCAATTCTTTCTCACTGCCGCATCCTGGAGGCATCTCGCTGGAACTGCACAACTCTTCGAAATGTTGACATCACTGTCAAGTTGAAGTAAATACATTCTGTCATAATGTTTTGTGAGATTTGAAGAGTAAATGTAGTCTGATTACTTGGCTAGAAAAAGTAACGTGTTCAATTAGTCGTTACTGGAAGATGTGCACGTCACTGGTTATAACCCGGTGACACTGATGATATTTGTTAGCCCATCAATGGCATTTTGCATCGTGTTAGAATTACACGAATGGACGATTCTTTCTCTCTTATGTTTTAAAGACAACGCATTTAATTCTCTTTTTAAGTCTCACAGTAAAACTCAATTTGGAGTGGCAAAAAAAAAGCTACAAGCTTCTTTTTTAAAGAACTGCTGTATGTTGTGAAGTGAAGTGAAGTGAGTTGAGATCACCGCCACCATGCAACACTTGGATTGGAAATTTTGGCTCACAAGTCAAAGCATAAAAAAAAAAAAAAAAAAATCGGCCAAGCAACAATTTGGATCTCAACAACTCGTAAGTTGGGTCACTGGTAAGTCGAGCTTCCGCTGTATTCCTTCTAACATGCAAAGGGCGAACATGCACGGGCAGCAGAAGAGCATGCATGCCCAGGCCAGGTGTGGACATTTTCAAACCAAAAGCATTCATTTGAGATCACCGGGTCAAAACTTGCAGCTATTCCAAACCCTAAACAAACAACGGGACAAGACTCACCTTTGGCTTCTCAGCTTCTGAGAGGTTAAGAAGGGGAGCTGGATAGGTGGAACGAGGCAGAGGGAGGCAATGCAGGACATTCTATATTAGTCTACTGGCTGGACAACCATTAGGACAGGGTTTCTCGTAAGTGATGTCCGCATTCACATATATAATTAAAAAAAAAACCCCAACAACTCCAGGGTGACAAAAAGTTCTGTAAATTCATTAAAAAATGCGTGGAACAGGCTGATAATCAAATATTAATCTTGTTTGGTTATTTTAATTGTCAGAAGGGCAAAGAGGGACATCAATAGGTGTTGTAAAACTAAAACTAAAGCCCAGTTTGTGTGTGGACCAAAGGCAAATAACCATGTAAGTTCAAGCACGAACCACTTGAACCCTAAACATAGCATCTACGCAATTTCCTGGGAGAGATTAAAAAAATAAACATGGGCAGGTTCACCCAAAAACAATATTCCCTTCTATTTTGCTGTTGTTTTTAAGGGCATACCTTTTAGCAGCCGGATCCTTTTCCACGGGGTTCACAACCTTCCAAACATTGCCAAAGGAACCTTTCGACATCTCATCAGTGATGTTCACTGTAGCAGGGTCGCTCCTTGAAAGACATACAAGAACAAAATCATATTTGAAATTACAAAGGTAAGCATATGGCGATGGTTCAGGGTTTTAAGACAACGTGGTCGTAAGCTTACTTGAAGTGGCCTTCAAGTGGAACTTGCACAATGCCTTCTTCTTCTACAATAATACTGTGTTCCTCCTGAGGAGAGACACAAGTGACCGTCACCGAAGTAGTGGTCTCCACAAAAGAGATGAAATTCTGCTTGTGCAAGTGTGTGAATTCAAACTGCAAATGATTTCACATTGTCCTTTTTGGCCAGTATGACTGCACCTCTTGTGCGGCATCTTCTAGCTTCTTTTTCTTCCATTCTGGCATCAAGTCATCCAACCAGCTCAGATCTCTCTTAGTGAAGATGAAGTCCAGGAGCTTTCGGATGAAGACGAGTGCCAAGACCTTGTGCAACACAAATACACAAAACTCACTCGATGTAATATTCAATCACCACCTTTGAATCTGTGTCCACACAAAGGGTAAAGCACATTCTTTTCAATAGTGGACGCTCTCAGGGACGTAGGACTTTTTTATGACTTTTTTTTTTTTTTTTTTACCATCATTGGAAAAACGATGGCAGCTCTTGAGGTCTTGATGACCCACAGCAGCACCAAACAGCTGAGCTGGATGATGGTAAACAGGTGCACCTTCCTCAGTGGAACGTGGCGAAGGTAAATGAAGTCAGGCTGATGTTTGGCCGGCATTCCAAACAATTTGAGACGGTCAAAGAACTGCCAACAGAGAAGTCAGATACAGCTACTCATCTTTTTTTCAAAAACATGTATCAATCAATCGGCGCTACCTATCTCCCCATCTTTCTCCCTAAACCACTAGTTTTCAAACGTTTTACCCCAAGGACCACCTAAACAAACACTACACTCTCCAAGTATCACCATCATGACCAAAATTAAAATGCTGTCGCATCAGGTGTTGGAAAAAAAGGAGACAGAGGGTTTATTCTAAAAATATGTATTTAATATTATCATCCATGAGCTGCTGTAAGATTCTGCACACTTTTAACATCAACACTGCGCTTAACAAACGTAAAAAATGTAATGAAATCATGATGTGGCTAACATTTAATGCACATAAAAGTTACAGAAAAACGACCTAAATCTTAAAAAAAAAAACTGTTCTGAAAGGTCGAATTCAAATCCAGTGAACTTAAAAAATAAGTCTAACTGAAACTTGGGCCGTGATTCTTTCGCGTGCCAGTGCCACTAGAGGGAGCCCGTGTGCCACCCTTTGAGAACCACTGATGGAGATAACAATGTTTTGGGGGTAAAGAACAATAACAAAAAAGATGTGACCACTCGGAGTCAAATCATTCGTAGTCCACCGGATTCACATTGTAAAACAAAAAAGGATGGAAAAACTTCCAAAACTCACCTGGATGCCTCTGAGTGAAGACGCCCCCATGTAGAGAAACACTCCATAAAGCACAGGCATCGGGATGAACTGGAAAAAGCCAGACGAGTAATTGGTGCGGTGTCTATATTTACACCGCATGCATTTAGTTGTTTATTTTGCTGACCTTCAACACAGAGGTCATAAAAACAGAGCAGCCCATCAGGGTGAAGATCATGAGCCCAGTAAAGCGCTGCTCACGGATGCCCAGGAACTTAGGCTGCTCTCCGGGTGCAGAGCATTCAGACTCCAGCTTCAAGCTGTTCACGTGAGAGATAGAAAGCACAGTGGCGGCCACGAACCACGGCAGGCCCATCACAGAGCACACGCCCAGCATCACCCCGACCACGAACAAGTCTAGGTGGTAGCCACAGCCTTTCTGAAAGACCACAGCCAATACCAGAGCATTTTATCCGCAAGTCCAGCGCTTCATCTGAAGTCATTTACAGGTGTACCTTCAGTTTGTGTTCCTTCCTGTTAATAATAACAGCCGTGATCTGTTGGTCCATGAAAATGAGGATTGTGCACAACAGAGCAGGAATGAAGGTGATGATCGTGGTCCACCATGGGTTGGGGCCCACAGGGTTGATAATCCAACTTCGATCATCCCTGGTTGGCTAAAAACAGTCCAGAAAGGAAAGAGGCTCTTACTCTTCAATACAGTATCTTTCTTTTTCTTTTAAGATGTGGGATGATGGTTGCGTGAAAGCGGTGAGTAGAGAGCTGTGGCTGGTGTGTTGAACACCTGAGATTCACTTCCCCAGTCCTTTTGTGTTGAAAATGTCACTATGCGAGCATTGTCTACGTCACACCATATAGTGTGGGCATCTTCATGCATCTAATTATCTGTTTGCAGGATGCTGTGTCAATAGTCAGCTTGCACACAGATGAGGCAATGTCCAGCTTTTTGAGTTCAGTCGGAAAGGCACAGGCAAGTAAAAGTCAAATTTATGGTTGCATCTCTGCTGTGACAATTTTGGGGAAACTGAAAGGGATTAAGCAGTCAGTTTATGAGACAATAAATGAGAGTGATCCCCAGTCCCATAACGCAGACAGGCTAACCAGGAAGACCGAGCGAGACGAGTCATGACCAGTGAGAAAAGCTGACCTAAGGAAACTAGAAAACTTTGAGGACTGCCTCCAGCGCATCCTTCGCTGCCCCTTCACTGGGATTTTCATCCACATCAGTCTCCTGGTTACAGTTTTCAACTATGTTCTTCAAGAGATTAGATTCATACAAGGAGTTTGATATTACAAATGACAGCCAAGTACAAGATGGCAAACCAGATGCACCAAGACGCTGAGCTGATGGTAAAAGGTTAGGACAATGGCAACTTCACACACTTACTGTCCTTGCTTTGAATATTTCATCAAAACTGATTGGGTGAATGGACTGCATAAGACTCACCTTAAACTTGTTGGGAACTTGTAACTTGGGTGAGGGAATGCCCAGAGCGTAGTCAACTAGAACCATGGTCAGGATAGTGATGAAGACTGCAAAGTCACTGATGATGGCCCGCACCTGAAGGCAAACATGGTCAAGATGTTCTTTGAGATAAAAACGTCGTAGAATTCCATGTAGGTTAGATCACTAGGTGGCAACGCTGGCACTGGCCTTGGTAGGAAAGTAGCGCCTTGTCTTGAACTCCTTGAGGAAGGCGGACATGAAGACGGTAGAGAAGAAGAGGACCACACACCAGAATAGGACGTCAGGAATGTAAGGGCCGTGGGGACCACAGGCGCTGCCCACGAAGTCCCCGTGCAGCTCTTCGCACTCCTACTGGCACCAGAGGGCACGATGAGGATGATGATGGCAAGCAAGTGAATCCATTGAGTGGTAAACTAATCTGCCAAAAGTCTTGCCCGCAAGTTTTAATTTACAATTTAACGGTCTGGTTTCGTTTGCACTAAAAAATGCAACCGTACGAGCTCATTTGACTGAAACAGACCAAGCGTAAAAACACATTCAGTCATCTCATCTTTTTTTTTTTTTTTGTCAATGTCTTCGGATAAGAAAATCCCATTCTTTTGAAGACAGATATTTTTGACACGCAGAACAATTTGTGGGAAGGCGTGTCTCTCAGTAATGACACAATTAAGAGATCGTCTGTGGTGATCCCAGCACTGAGAGTTGTGGTCCTGCTAAAGGAAAAACTATTGGCCGGCTATAATTGGATTGTGTTGGAAAACCTGACCAGAGAGTTTAAAGATTACCTGAACTTCCAACGTGGTCCAGTTGACCTGGGAGGCTGTGATGTTCCTCTCCTCCCAAAACAGCTGGGTTTCATTGCTGGGATCTCTGGGCTCTACACAAGTGCAACTACACAATACAATGGAGACCATTTAGCTACTTTGAGATTATTCCGAATGATTTCGTTTCATCTTTAGAAAAAAAAACAATCCCAAAGATACAGTTATTTGACCTTTGTTCTCAGCTCAGGTAACCATTGTAGCTCTTCCTTACTTTTAAGGCAACAGCATTATAAGGCACTTACGAATACTGTGTTAGTTTCTGAAGGTTGTTGTTTTTATTGATGGGGTAGTGCACGCCCAGGTGGATCAGTTTCTCCAGGGCCTCGTAGATGAATATGATGCAAATCAGGGCAGCAAATGCCTCCTCTGTGAATCGTGTGATGTAACAAACAAGCGAGCTGGCATCTGTGGCCACAAGCAGGAGACAGAAAAAGGACGTCCAAAGGCCTATACAGGCCCTCAGGGAGAGGTAGGAGAGGCCATAGTCCCTGCAAGAGGATATGAAATTCTTCAGAAACGACATGACTTTCCCAAATAATTCAATTATGAGGACCGTCAACTCAAAGAAAATGACACACTTGCAGAACTTGAAGAGGATCTTCTCAAACACAAGGACTGGACCGGTGCTGCCAAGGATTGTAAGTGGCTGCCCAGCAAAAAGCGAATAGGCAATTCCAGTCATGGAAGCCCCAAACAAGGACTCGATAGCACTCTGAAAATACAGAAACATTGGTTATGGCTCAAATACTACATTATCATATTGGAACTTTGATGCTAATTTCCTGTTGCGTTATATGTTAGCATTAAACTAAATTATATGGGTTGATTGAACATTATGGTGTTTAAATATACAACCTTGAATTCTATTTTGCTTCATGTGTTAGTTTTATGGTAAACGTCCCATGAGAGCGACAAAAACTGATGTTTTGATTTTCATCGATTGCGGGTGGGTCTGCAACATACTGTATATAAACCACGATAAACGGGGGTCACTGTATTATGATTTTTTTTTTTTTTTTTATTCTCTTACCACACGTCCTTCGGTAGCCTCACCGAGAAGACCTCCAAAGGTGATGACAGGTGACATGCAAGCGCAGTAAAGGAAGAGGAAGGAGGCCAGACACTGCAGGCTAAGGGCATCAGTGTAGTCAGAAAGGTAGTGAGGGGCCTTCCGCTTGATGTCAAAGATTAAACCGCCAAACAGCCTTAGGGGAGAAAGGTAAGTATAACATTTTGAGCTTGGCGACAAGAAAGAAACTACTTGCCACCACTGCTCAGTTAGCCATCATAGCCGCTTAACACTGGCCATCTCAGCCGGTTTTGTCATCAATCTTTTTACTGTATGGAACGTATGCGGGATTGGGTGTTAAATCCAATTTCCCATTTTTTGAGGTAGCATCAGAGAAGGAAAGCTGCCAGCGTGCAAGTCGAGTGTGAAGTTCAACACTTGAGACGTGCTGCAGGCCTTTGTATTGAAAGCAATTGTTTCTGTCACGTTGACATCCCCGCGGATTTAATTAACTAATTGCGCAAAGCCGCAGTGGCTGTATAAAGTTACACTGAGGACGCGGCAATGTCCTGCACAGGTGATTTACAATCATAACGGAAAAGGCGAATGAATCGACTGCTACGCAGCTGATGCAACACTTTACGGGGAAAGCCAGAGTGAAAGCGACGACGGTAACGTTCTCTCGTCTACCTACTTTCCAGTGCGTTGAAGCTCAGGGCCACCGTGGCCTCCGTGTTCCTCTGACTCAACCAGATCTGTGACTCCATTTGGAAGAGGAGGAAGCTTGCGCTTTTCCTGTATGATTAAAAATAGTAGAGTTTTGTTAAATCCAACCTCCGCACTTTTTAAGAAGAGTGTAGAATTTCAACAGTGTTGTGTTACACTCAAAACACTCACCCGGAAAGCATTCATATTTAAGTGTGACATAGTAGTGGACAATAATTGTGTCGCCCTTTGTTCGATTTCACACGTGTCCTTTATTACACAGACTAACACAGTAAAGCAGTATATTTTGCTGGTTTTCATGCAGCTGGCAAGGGATCAATTTACACTCGATACACTCTTCATGTTTTTGCAATGAACAGTTCATCAGAAATGCCGCTTGCCCAGAGTGAGAAGGATAAGCAATATAGATTAAGGATAGATTGACATGATTTTAACTCAACTTCATCATTGTAAGTCATTGACATCCACCAAAATCCATCCATTCATTATATTAGATCCATTTAAGAATTCATCTTCCATTCATTAAAATCTTTTCAGTTGTCAGATAATAAGAAAGTCAGTGACGACAAGTCACATGAAACGTTCTCCAACTGTAGAATTGTTCGCACCCGTGTTTATTAATGCAGTTCGGTGTCGGCTGCAATTGCCTGTCTCTACAATCCAGAGAAGGTCATGAGAATGCAAATCATCCCATGAATTCACGTGAATGGATGTCATGTGGGTTAGGCTTTGAAGAAGCGACATTTTGAGCAACTTTGGGTCCTTTGAATGGTGCTATAGAGCTCATTTAGGATTATTTATTGCAGATGTCCTCATCAATATAATACAATACAATACTGGTGTGGTCTTACGTTTCAGGACCTCCACGTCAACTGGCCCTGCTTCAAATTAGTTTCATAAATTAAAAACTTCTCATAACAGTTGGTCAAGGTTGATAAGGAGATGCATTTTATTTAAAGAGAAGGGTAAAGGCAAAAAACCCCCCAAAACAAAACATTCGCTGTGGCACAATGGAGATTCGTGTGGATTCGAACAAAGTAGTGTCTAGTGCCAACAGGGAAAGATAATGATAGCATGTCCGTTTATTTTGCTATTTGAAATGTTTTTTTTTCTTTTTCCGCAATTCTCCATGCTTGTGAATACTCAGTACGAATGCATCAATGATGAACCTGTCCAGCCGCTGTGACTTATGTCATACATACTGTATCAGTATGTCCCGCACGGAACCCCAACTGAGTAATGAAAATTGTAACTTGTATCTGAGTATCTAGTGCTGAGGTGTACCAGCGCTTGCTTTTGACAAAGGAATTGCATCAACAGGCAACTGTGACGAATAAGTACTATATAGTGGAAAAGGAGCTTGATCAACCTTTAAGTTGCGTAATTTTCACTTGGCAATGCTCCTGCAGAAGTATAATATCTCAATCCTCTAATCTTCTACATCGACATGTGTAGTGTCGAACTTAAAGTACATTCACTGATTACGGAAAAACTTTAGTGATGGTCATCAATGGTGTAGTTCAGTGATTCTCAACAAGTCTGCCTAATCCATTTACCTTTATTTGGTCCGAAAATTATGATTCATTGATTACAAACAATGTACCTTTTTTTCATCTATCTAGGCCAGCAACATATAGTGACAGGCAGAAAAAGTAAATGCTCTTCCACTATATGGCAATTGCCTTGTGTGATCCAGTTTTTGTGACATTGTTTGGTTGTGTGCAGTGAGTTTTTTTTTTTCTCATGTACCACACGCTGGTAAAGTTTAAATGTAATCCTGCTAACTAACACACAAACGAAACTCTTAATGGGTAAAAACAACACCTCGGCTCTTCCTTTTGTGGGAGTGTGAATTTACCTGAGAGGGCACATTTTTGGGAGGTTCTATTCTGATGGAGGGATCCCATTCTCCAGGGGGTAACACTGTCACCTGGTCCAAGAACTCATCAATACCAGCCACAAGGTCATTTCTGTCTTTGGCTTTATAAGCCACATCGTGAAAAACCTGGGGAGGTAAAAAGTTTGGTTGGTATCCAAACACTTTTATTTAAGTTCATTCTGAGGGTGGAAAAGCAACATCTGACATTATTGGCTGCACTGTGCAAAATCCTGATGCTTATCATTGCGTGCTGAGCATTCATCCCTTTGGAGCTTGCTTTTTTTGGGCACACTTCATAGGACAGCTTGAGCTCAAGGAAGCAACGGAATCTGTCATTATTGCTGCTTCCATATTGCCCGGACCAGAACCTCACCTCGTCAGTCATTAGGGTTGCAATAGACCGTCCAATTTCATGGTACTGCGGACCTTTTCCCAAAGGCCCAAGCAGGATGAAAAGAAACCTGTGGCATGAACAGGGAGTACACAGAGGACAACAGTCAGGGAGTGAGCTGGATCATCTGTCCAAGAAGAAACACAGAGGTCAGCGGGAGCAACCTGGTGGTGATGGGAACCTCAGCCAGGCCACTGAGCAGCACAGCAGGTGCCAGGCGGACGAAGGCCACCACAGGGCGTTCGAGAAACTCCAACTCCCCAACCAGGATATTGGAGGCCTCTGCACCAGGTGGGATCTTTTTCATGAAGTGAAGGTCAATCTAACAAAGCAAACTTTTTAATGACTGATGACCTCAGCAGTGGGAATGAAAACAACAGAACTGAATTTAGAACTTTGATGCAGGTTAGGTCAAATCCGCAAAGCAATCTCGGCAGAATAACATAGCTGCCTGCTCCACATGTGGCTTGGGTTTATTAAGCCAATGCTCCATCCTGAGTGTGTACCGCACCTCACCCTAAATCAACTGGCTTGAGCTCTCATAGAATACATGACAGATAAAATGGTTTGCTGATTGGTTGGCTATAGTGTCTTTGGATTCTCCAAGTGCAAATCCAAACGAATACCTATACACAATCAACTTTTCACCAATCTTTAAAAATTTATGACGACAAGCTACAAAACTACCTTAAATAAGGCCCTGACATGGAATGGATTATAGTCACTGAAAGGCACTTGTGAAAGTATGGAACAAATGTTTTGTGTCTATATATGTCCAGCTTCACAAAGTGAAAAGCTTATTAATACAGTATTAAAAAGTATCAATTCTCTGAAAGCTAAAGTTAGCCACAGAGTCCCAGAAGACTCAATACTGGGAACAATATTATTTATAAATTGATTTTAGCAAAGTTTATAGTTTAATTTGGAATTATCAAGTTCAATTTAATTTAGAGAACAAAATAATTGCAAGACCTGACGATCACTATTTGTTCACATCCATAATGCTGCTTCTATATATTGACAATAAGTCTCTCTCTGTTGTAGGTACAGTAATTCTGTCTCGAAGAACACTCCTTCCTACAGGCCAAGCTGGTACAACATATGATTTTACTAGCCCCTCTTAAACACAACCATTCACACTCATATTAACACCTCTGAGTAAAGTCAGCGCACCTAGACAAAACCGACGCAACATAGTATTTTCGCGCTCTAGTTGAATCTAATAAGACAAGGCAGACTGAGCACTGGCTTTGATTTTGTTGGTTCTTTTGTTCTGTTTAGGGTGTATGGACTTGGACAACTTTATGAAAATCATCTTGGATACCGTCCCTATTGAAACTGCATTATACAGATAACAATGAATTTTATTGGATAAGTGAAAGCTAAAATTTCACTATTTTCAAACTGCAACACAGCACTACGAGTGGGTCAATGATTATGTAAATAGGACAGTCCTCCAGTTACACGTTGTCCACTTTCCCAGGATAAGCTGCAAAAGTTGACTCTTCCACACGGTACCCAATCTTATATCAATAATTTGGCCGGGTCTCACTTTCCACAGATAAACAGCAAAACCAGCGGTGGCTCACCTTGCTGAAGTCGACGGCGCTGTTTTCTCTGCTGACATCCTGTTTACCCTCGGTGCTGGCTGACTGGGACTGAGATGAAACTGTTTGGCCTGTCAAGAAAGTACTGATGTCAGGTCAACCAAAATGATGAGAAAAACATGACGGTGAAAAGAATGGAAAAAAAAAACCCTTTCGTTTTTTTGTGTTGTGAAAATTACAATAGTAAAACGGGTTCTTGGCACAGCGCTTTTAACCTTTAATGGCATCGTAGTAGCCAATAACTAAATCCGACTAATTGTTGCAGTGCTTGTCCTGGGATCTCATTAGTTTGTTTGCATGAATATTACCTGTGGTGTATGGCTAACACACACTCACCGTTCTTATCCATGGAATGAGGTTCTGATTGCTTCTTGCCAATGTCTGCAAAGGAGCGGACAATCGGGATTCGGTTGGCAAGCTTCTTGTGGTTCTGGTGATGATGCTGCTTGAGCAGGGCCTCACGGATCCTCCTCCTGGCATCCTGACCCAATTGGCCAGACACTTCGTGCTGATCCAGGACCATGTCTGAAAAGAAGAGGAAGCTGGGGTTGGTTTTGTGTTACCGTATTTTTAAGGTATTGCCAATTCATAGCGCAAGGCAGACTGTGTTACAAGAGTCACAAACAACCTGATATTACGGATGGATATAGAAAGCGCCAAAAATTAGAATCGGTGAGCTGCTCAGCAAATAGTTGAGGATAGGTTTCACAGTCATCCTTTACCTGCAATCTCCTCCAACGAATTTGCTCTCATGTCCAGCATTACAGTGCCATTCATAATGCAGCTTCGCAGCTCAAATAAACTATGTAGAGACAGCGTGGCCACGTAAGGCTTACTCCATCGCTCGCCGCCATCCTCGACATCCTCCTCAAACTTCAGCCACCTACACATGAGCACAGAGATCATTTCAGCTGGAGCCAAACAATCAAAATCTGGATGAACTTTAGAACTGATAAACACATAGAAGCAGGTTCTTTTGTTAAACTGAGTGATGCTTGCATTTATTTGTTTATTTATTTATTCAGTATTGCGGTCTGAATTGGATTCACGTTAGGATCTTTGGAGATCGCTTTTTCAGGTTGATACCAATACAGGTATTCATTCTTGAGTACTCACCGACACCAATACAGAGTACTGATACCACTAGTACTTTTGATAAATACATTTTCAAAAAAACACAACAACAGACAATTATGAACAGTCAGAGATATTTCTTTCTTTTTGACTGTTCTGATTTCACCCTCATTTAGATTGCCCAGTCAGTTAACCACAGAGTTCAATAAATCCACTTGAAACCGCAACTTGTTTTTCGACATTTTACACAGCCACAGTATGACACTGTCAGAGATGGGCACTTTACCCTATTTTGCCAGTCCGTCCTCTGTCCTTCGTCCGCGACCTGGGTACCCTTCCATCATCATCCCTCCATCCTTGTTCATATCATAATCGTCCGCCGTCCCTGTGCTTTTAAAGCACTTCCATCCCAGTCCGCCACCCCCCCCCCGCCCCCTTTCCAAAATGCTGTTAATCTCAGTACATGGTGTCTGTACTCGCCCATCCCTAATTAATTTAGATTATTATTTTGGGGGGAGTAAATCAAAAAGTTGAATGTTTGTCTGATATTGCAACACCAAACACAAGAGTTTGCCACCGTTTTCTTTTAAAGTCAACGACAGACAATCACTTCCTGCCATTGTTTGCAAACATCATGAAAAAGGTCTATTGGGATGATAAAAATGGAATGTGGTGCAACAAAAACAGACCCACCTGGCAGTCTCCTTCCATTCTGCATCCTCCCCCTCCCTGAGGCAGATTTCGTCCAGCTCGGTGAACAGGGCGTGCGGGATGTGCTCCTCATCGCCATCCTCTGTCCCCAAGAGGAACTGCACCCTCTGGGCTGGTGTGTCTTCTGAAGCAAACGACAAGGCTCCATTTCTGTTAAAACTGCAGCTAGAGTATGTAAGCAGTCCTATGCAAATATAATGGAAGGAGGGACACCGACTGTGTGAGGGGGATTCTCGTCCATCATCAGTTGTGGAGTCCCTCTCCTTGGACCGCTTCCTGTGTCTATGGCCGTGGTGACGGTGGCGGCGATGTGATCTCCGACCCAGAGGAACATGTACCCCAATGTACAGAGTACGGTGACCTGGAGTCAACAAAAGGGAGAAAAAAACCGTTATATTCCAACTACAGACGTTTGGGGAGTGAACATTTAATACTGCAGCCTCCTTGCTCTGGGGATCCCATTAATCCGTTAACGCCTAACCCAAGAAACAAAAAAACAAAACAATTGTAGTATGTTTTTTCAGTAGAAAACAGCACTTTGTAATACTGTAATTTATAAAACATATGGTAAAAATCTAAATTATATATAATCTCAAGAATTCAACAACTTGTGCATCATGATCAAATTTACTGCGTCTCCTGCTCGTGTGTGCAACTTGGGGCCAGTGAAATGCTGCCATCCAGACAAAAATGAAGAAGACTCTCACAACTACTGTAAGTGACTCAGTGCTTGCAGTGATATTAGTGGTTTTTCGCAGAAGATAAAGAATATATGCCTGTGTCATTATATTGTTTGTCTACATGTGTAACTGCACTGTTGGTGTTCAAATATCCATTGCTGAAAGCATCTAATTAGTTTTGATAGCACAATAAAAAATTATACAATTAAAAAAGTAGTTCAAATCAAGATGTAAATAGTGTGAGTATTTTTTTAATCACATAAGCCTTTCAACAATATTTGTAGTATTTAAAGCAATTATTGTAATGAATTAGGTATAAAAATAACATTTAAACATTAACATGAAGTATGGTACATATTTTACATGTTTTATTCATTTGTACCTAATCTACAGAAGATTTGGCCCATCTGTCCATTTCTAAAAAAAAACCCATGACCACAAAATGTTGTCCACCCTTGATGTAAAATGGGCTAGTAGAATGGAATTAGACAGAAAGTGCCTAAATTTCCACTAAATGTTGAGTTGAGGCATGGACAAAGTAAAATCCATTTAGATTCAGATTTTATTATTTTTTTTTAATATATCACTGACTGTACCTTAAGTCACTGTAGGCATATTGAGGACGTTGTTACCTGCGAACATATCCAATTTGGAGCTGATCAAAATGAGGATTGGACATTGATATTGATTGTTTCCCATGAATGCAGACTAACCAATGGCACCTCTAGAAAGCTCCCCCCCACATTTTAGCTGCCACACTTGTGCGTGCAGAACTTGAGCATGCATGCACAAGGTTAGAGTGAAGATAATCTGAGTTGACTGTCTCCCCCTTTTTTACTGCAGTCGAGCTGACTGGCCTGTGCTGCATACCCCCACCCTCCACCCTCGCCTGGCCCTCAGCTGAGCGGTCAGAGAACTGTGAATGCCCTGTTCTTGCCTCCTGCACCATATGAGATGCTTCAGTATTCAGTCAAATCGAATAGATCTGCATCACAGATTTTAAACATATACTTTTTATTCCAGAATTTTGCAACACTGGTAAAGTACTGTACAGTGGCAACTTGAAACATCAGTACCCCCATTTATTGAGGCAATTGTTTTTTGCTACCTGAAACTGAACATGAAATGAGAAACTCAATGGGCACAAAGGCTGACAATTAGCATCTATGTGGCACTTTTGAACCAAATGGTGCTGCAAAACATGTAGACAGGCAATATAAACAACATCATAATCGCCACGCTGCCAATTATATCTGACCCTGCCAGATGACAATGAAAAGAAAAAACATCAATTAGGGATGTCACAGTATTAACTGTATTAAAAATTCCTTGCTATCATTGTGGTCTGGTTTCGTGACACGTATGATCCGGCAATCCATCCATTTTCTAATCCGTTTATCCTCACAATGGTTGCAGGGCGTGCTGGACCCTATCCCAGCTGTCTTCAGGCAGTAGGCGGGGGACACCCTGAGTAGTTGGCTAGTTGCCGGCCAATTGCAGGGCACACAGAGACGAACAACCATCCGCGCTCATATTCACACGCGGTACAATTTAGAGTGTTCAATCAGCCTGCCATGCATGTTTTTGGAATGTGGGAGGAAACCGGAGTACCCAGAGAAAACCCACGCAGGCACAGGGGGAACATGCAAACTCCACACAGGAAGGCCGGAGCCGGAATCAAACCCTGAACCTCTCCACTGTGACTCCAAGACGCTAACCAGTCGCCCCCGATGTGATCAGGTCACTGATGATTGGCGGACTGGCCCACAATATATTAGTTCGGCGAGCTAGGTAAACAAAAGCCAGCTGTATACTAACTGGGCTACGGAAGGAGTGTACATTAATCTGCCAATTAAAAAATAAAGAGAACTAATGTGTATTGAAGGACACGTTCATTACACAATATTTTACCAAATTGATTCGAATCTGCCCTGTTTTTTACTCCAGTGCATCAGTTTCATCATAATAATAATAATAATAATAATAATAATAATAAGGCATTTGTGTTTTGTTAACACAAATTGTTTTTTTGCTTGATTGATTAATTGACTGATTGGGTTAATATTTATTTCACGCATGCAGTACAAATTCAATACGTGTACACACCATTCACTCTAAATTTAGCATTAGCTTCAAAGAATGATTTCATGACACTGACAGGGTTGTTACCTTCTAGTTCTTCCTTCTCAAAGTTGGTGTTCAGCATGGAGCGGGTTCCACCGCGGTCCACCACTGCTTCCTCATCAGTCCTCTGACACAAACATGCACAGACAAGGCTTGTTTCAGGGCTCGATTGGAACTGTATGCAATCTAGAATTGAAAAATTTTCAACCTTACGCTCTTCTTACAATGTGGGAAGATATGTCCAAAACTACCCACAGAGTGAAACTAGCTGTCGCTAGCTGTGGACATAACAACAAAGCCAGCCAAAGAGAATACAGTATTTGAAAGCTGCTTTCTCTGCTTCATGTGTTCATGTGTTTTTGCTCCGCTAAATGTGCACTTCTCGTGCATTTTTTTTTTCACACTTCACACTCATCAGTAAGCCGTTTATGTTGAAGGATAAGATTGTCAGCTGAGTTTAAAATGATTGTAAATGTTTTGGGAACGTAGTTTGTGGCATACTTCTGGTTTATAAATGATTAATTTGGACAATGTTTTAGGTGGCACAGAGTTAATTACTTGCGGTTTTTCACTAGTCACAGCAGGACTTTGCCTATATCCCCTGCAAATTGCAGGGGTTCATTGTAACAGTGGGCCTTCAGTGGGGACCTAATATACCTCTGAAAAGCACCACAATCATGCTGCAAAATAAGATACAAAAGCAAATCATAATTATGCGGGGCATTACAGAGAGACAGAAGCATTTTCCTGCATTTGAGGATGAATACAATTACTACGAAAGCAAGAAACAGAGTTGACCCTTTCCTCTTCCAATACATCAATTCCAAACCTAGACACTCTAATATATTATTTCACAATCAATATTTGCTGTATCTAACAATACCACTAAAACAAAAAACTTTAAATAAAATAAGTATTCACGAGTAACATCTATTATTAATGGACAAAATCCATCCTCTTTTGCACATCGCAGTAAGACAGCTTGTTTAGCGCTGTTTTGCTTTTGAAAAAAAAATGCATGAGAAGTGCGCATGTAGCTTTGCTTTTGCAAAACAGCTAGCAAGGTGTTGCTGCTACGGCAGTGGCAAATAAATCCTTTTTGAGGGTTCAAAAAAGCCTCCCAAGCAATGTATTGGCCAACCTCCAGTATCCTCACAATGTGCATTTTTTTCCTAAAAAGTCCGCCATCCCACTCAGTAGCTCTAATCAACCAATCAAAGAACAGAAAAAAGGCTGATATCAGTCTCAGCGTTTGCAAAGGCGAACAGAGGTGAATGCGGGAATCAGATTTGTTAGTCATGTCAGATATTGTGTGTTCTACATACTTGGCCAATAAAGATGATTCTGATATCAGCACCAAATTTTGAAGGCCCTGGGCAGACTACAGTGTATGTAATGGCAACCGATGCAAAAATCTGATTGGACCAAAAAAAAAAAAAAAATCCAACAAACACGTAACTGGAAGCTGGACAGCCAAGATGCATGTCATAAAATGAAGAAAACAGATATATGGAATGCACTCAATACAACTTAATTTAAGTTATAAATCGATAGGTCAGTGCTTCCGATAGTGGTGAGGCCAAAACATAAGACTTTGAAGCCCTGATAGCATGCCACTGCGTTGGAAGCATGTAGCATTTGTTGGAAGGCTTTCATATGCTTGCAGCTGCAACTTCACAAAGACAACAAGCAGCCACTGCCTCAAATGAAGTAAACTGTTTCGGTTTATCGGTCATTGGGCCGTCATTTTAACACAGTGGGCCCTTGGCGCCAAATTTTGGTGAGTGAAAAATGTCCAAGGAGGAAATAAAGAACACCACCAAAAAGAAAGCACTCCAGTTGTGATAGATTACAACCCGACAGAGAAATGACATGCATGAGAATATTCACAAGCAACCCCCCTCGAATAATCCTCATTTCAGAGACCCATCAGGTGCGACGTGGCTCTTTACATCATGCCTTTTCATTGCTGTTCCAGTAGTAACTTGTGACAAACTACAAGGTCTTTTTTTAATGTTAGATTTTATATTTGGCATTGTGTCCATATACCACAAAAAAGCTTTCATTGTCTCGGGCGCTCATTTATTTGCCACACTCTGAGCTCGACTTAGGTGAGTAGAAGCAAGCAGCTGACCGCCATGAACACTCGCTGCCGAACGAGGCGAAAGAAGCGACAGCGCAAAACGCCAGCAGGTGCACAACAATGAGATCCAGCCCCATGGGTGACAACTGAACGAAAGCCGGGCTTGCCATTGCCCAAGCAAGGGCAGGATGAGGGCTGGCTCACCGCAGGAGACAGATCGGGCCCTAATACAAGCCAATTCCAATATGACAACAAATAATAAGCTATCCTTTATTTGTCCCACACTGGGGAAATTTACAGTCTACAGCAGCAAGATTGTGGGTAGAAAGAAGAAAGAAGAAAAACAAAGTGTTTGCATTCACAAAATAAATGTTACAGTTTCAATGTACACCGTTCAATTAAGTGCAATCAATATAAATATAGATAATATGCAGTATGAATGTCTGTGATTCTTTGTCCTTGGGGTATTTTGATGAAAACATGTTATTAAGAGACACGGGAACATTTGTCATTAAATATTTAATGTCTCTTTTAAGATATTTATCCAATGCCAGGGGTCAAAGTCAAAAAAGTGAATGATTTTATTTAAAAAGGTTACATTTTTTTTTTTTTTTAAACGTATGTGGCTCTATGTGGGAAATAAATACTCATTGCTTCCTTTTCTTCAATCATGAGCTGACTGTGATTAACTACATTTTTTGCAAAGGTGATCTTAATTTTCTCGGTCAAACTCAGGCGTGATTATTACTGCCGGATTTGTTGACTCAACAAGTCATTTAAATATTAGACAAAGTGAAGTCGAGATCTGATAAAGAAATGTGCCATGCCACGATTTACTGCAAATGAATTAAGCAAAACAAATAACAGACAAAGTGATTGAAGTTTACCAGTACTTTACTGTTGTATATGTTAGTTGCTCCATGTACAGCACTTTGTATGAAGCGATGGCTGTTTGAAAGTGCTCTATAAATACAGTTGAGTTGAGTTGAGTTGAGTCTGGAAAAGCTTGCAAATCATTGCCAAGGCTGCGGAACTCCAGCGAAGCACAATCAGAGTACATTATCCACAAAAACTGTGGTGAACGTTTACAGGTTTGGTAGGGCAACCAAAATTACTCCGAGAATGAATCGACGACACATTCAAGCGGTTACAAAAGAACCCAGAACAACAACCAAAGCCTCAGTTAAGGTCAGCGTTCATGACTCAGCCACTCAACCAGGATGACAGACAAAAAAAAAAAAACCCACAAAGACTTGCTTCACATTTACAGCACATCATGCTCCTGCAGCATTGAGTAGACCTGTAAAACGTGTATCAAGTCTTAAACTGCTTTGCGTCTGTACTGTTTTTCCCTTTCCTTTTATGTGTCTAATTACGGAAACTAGGCATTACATAGTCCTAAACAACTCTTGTAATAACGACCTACAAATTAAATTAGAAACCTGGCAGCTATGCGACGAATACGCCGGTTGCAAGTGGTCCTGACATTCATAATAAATGTGTGTGCAATTAATATTAACATCCACATAGTTAGCTTTGCACTACGAAAAAAAAAAGAAACATTAAGTTGATCAGCTTCAAATTGGACAACACACGACTGATCTCATCTGACTATCGCACAATGGGTAGCGTTCAGTTTTTGCTCTGCTCTGTACAATGGTCAGTCATGCTTAATGCATAAAATGGTGCCTAGCAAGTAAATATTATTCATCAAAATTGTCTTCTGCATGGTAAGTGAAAGACAATCAGCGTGCTAAATACAATTAAAAATAAAGATGTCAAATATATTTCATAATACAGTTGTTCAACGGTGCTGTTCAACATTTCAAGCTTCATACATTACAGTGCCCTGGGCTTAAATGGATTAATGGACTCGTCGACACATCGACTTTATCGCTCTGCAATGACAGTTATAGCTTGAAAACGTTTAACAAGACAGACACCTCACTCAAGCAACAGTGTCTCAAGTGTGCTGAAATATGAAACTAAAAATGGGATCGTGAGCACGGTCACTTGGAAAATATGCAAGTCTAACTACTGTAAGCCTTTCTGAAAAGGCACTAGCTAATGCTAGCTAATGAACAGCCTTAAATCCTCATGGAAGCCATTAGCGAATAAGCCAAACGTCCTCTTGCCGCAATGAAAAGATACTGTATCTTAGATAGTGTAGTGTCTGGTCAGACGACGAAACGAAGACAAGCGGCGGCCGATCACCAAGTCCCTCGTTGTGAAAATGAACATCAAATGTTCCAAAAAACCTCCTTATTCAACTAGTCTTTCTCTGAACCATCAGCTGTGGTCTCGCAGACAGTCAGATTTTATAAAGGTTACAACAATCCGCATAACACGTTCCGTGAATTGGCCTTATGAGTTTTACAAGGTCCAACTGTGTGCAAGGCCAAGACAGTGAGCGTGCTTGTGTTTGGAGCTGTGCACAGTGAGTTGATGATTAAAA